AGGGGTGCAGGGGGGACGGCACTGGGCAGGCTTTGCAGCCCCTGAGCCCCAAGCTGCCTTCCCTCGGCCTCCTGACCTACATCTGCAGCAGGTCTGGTCACGCGGTGTGGCCTCACACGCCTCGGGCCAGACGCCGGCCTGGCTGCACCCTGGGGCGCTGGGGAGGTGCCAACAGGCACCACGTGCCCCTGGGGGAGCCCTTCCAGGTGCTGGCGTGAAAGCTCCTGCCTCTCCACTCGTCACTGGCCTGTCCCACACATACACACACATGCACACATGCAAGTACACATGAACCTGCTCACACACATGCCTGCACACACATACATGCATGCACAAACTCACATGCATACACACACATTTGCACATACTGACACACATACATGCATATACACGTATGGGTGCAATCACACATATATGCACACACATGCACATGCACATACACACACTCATACCCACATGCATACATGCATACTTGTGAGAGGCTCAGCAGTAGGACACAGGTGTCTGAGCCTGTACACTAACACACGTGCACACACGCACACGCACATATGCACACATGCACACATGCACACAAGCACACACACGTGAGAGGCTCAGCACCAGAAAACCATGTCTGTCCAGTCCCCCCACACTCGCCCTCCCAGAAGGCCTCTTCCCTACCTGGGCCAGAGAAATAACCCCACCACAGCTCACAGGGAAATGGGAGAGACAATTCCGCATCTCACCTGGTCTCCAGTCTCCTCATGCCCCGCCCTCTCCAGCATCGGCATCGTGGGGCAGCGTGAGCAGCCCTAAGCGAGCCTCCGAGCGTCCCTCCTGTGCCCTGAGCAGAAGCCCCCGGGACCCTCTATGGCAGCACGTGCCCTGAGCTGCCGTCCCAGCCCAGTTGCACAGGGGGGGCTGATGGAGAACCCTGGCATGGGGCGAGGGGGCTTCTCTCTCTCCCCCGCCCCCTGCCCTGGGGACAGTGGACTGGATGTTCCCCGGGCAGTGCGGGCGAGCTCCCTGCCAGACCCTGGGGTCTGTCCCCCAGAAGCGGCACCAGGACACCTCTGTTTGGGACACTTGGGACTCCCCGAGCAGATTTGCCGGCCTCTGCACTAGCCCTCCTCCAGCCGTAGTATACAGCTGCCGGGTGCCTCTTGGCCGGGGCCTTTCCTGTCCCCACGTGGGAAAAGCCCGTCTCACAGGGCCACTCAGAGGCTGCTGGGGGCAAGGTGCCTCATCTCTGTCCACACCCATATCCCAACCATTTATCCACCCACCATCACCAGGCATTTTATTTTAATTTTGTTTTGTTTGGGGGCCACACCTGGCCCTGCCCAGGGCTGAATCCTGGCCCTGCGCTCCTGGTGGAGCTCGGGGGACCGAGGGGGCCAGGGTCCAAACATGGGTTGGCTGCGTGCAAGGCAAGCGCCCTTGCGTACTCTGGCTCCAGTCCCACCAGGCGTTTTAAATCCAGTGCAGACTATGGAGAACTACACTGAGCACCCCCGTTGTTAAGCAGAGCCGTTTGCTCCTGCCATAGAAAGTCTCTGCGCGGATGGACTCACGCACTAAAGCTGAGTATGTGCCTAGTGAGACACGTGTCCTCCGGGCCGTCCACTCCGGTCAGAGCCAGGCGCTTGGTCACTTCCCAGATTTCAGGCCTCTCCTGGGCCTGACCCACTCACTGTTGCCAGCCCAGCCATACTCTGGTTCCGTCCCGCGTTTCCTGCTTGTGCTAGAGCCTGGCTTTGGGGGCTGTGCTGGGGCTCACTCCCCATGCACCTCACTGAGCCCCACTCCCTGTCGGAAGCTTCGTGTCCAGGCTGCTGAGTCACAGGGATCGTCCGGCATGTTTCTGAGGTCAGACACTTTGATTCCTCCTGGGAAAATGCGTGAATGTGGAGCTGAGTGTACAGATTTTAGGCTGTGAGAAAACCAGAGTTGAGGCTGCGAACACGGAGGGGAAGTCATGTGCTCTGCACACAGCTGACCCAAGTTTGATCCCCGACACCCCTTACGCTCCCGACACCCTCCAGGGGTGATCCCTGAGCACAGAACCAGGAGTCAGCCCTGAGCACCACCAGGTTTGGCCCAAAAACTGTAGCACTGTGCTGTAGCACTGTCCTCCCGTTGTTCATCGATTTGCTCGAGTGGGCACCAGTAACGTCTCCATTATGAGACTTGTCGTTACTATGTTTGGCATATCGAATACCACGGGGAGCTTGCCAGGCTCTGCCGTGCGGGCGGGATACTCTCAGTAGCTTGCCGGGCTCTGCAAGAGGGACAGAGGGACGGCCGCATGCAAAGCAAATGCCCTACCTGCTGTGCTATCGCTTGGCCCAAAAAAACAAAAAAGAAAAAAAATCAAAACTGTTAGGGGGTTCTAACAGTTTTGCCCCTTCAGTCTCCTGGGCCCTCCAACATGCCCTGCTATGGAGTCCAGGTTGTATAGGGGTCGCAGATCATGCTGGCAATGCTGGGGGCAGGGATCGGGCAGTGCCAGGTGAGTATCCAGACAGGAGTGGAGAGCCTGCAGGGCTCTCGCACATGAGGGCACAAAAGGGCTGTGGGCAGCCAGCCCGCACCCAAGACCCACTTCATCTGCAGCCCCAGGAGAGCTGGTCCCCCCCACCACCAGAACATTCTGGGAGTGAGTGTGGTGCCCAGGAGTGCGCTGGTGCCCGGGAGCAAGCCTGGTGCCCAGAAACGAGCATGGTGCCCAGGCCAAGGTGAGGCTGTTCACGGGAAGTGATGCTGATCCCAGTCACCACTGGCTTAAGAAAAAAATTTCCCAAGCAGGCAGCTCAGACAGAGAAGGGACCACCAAGTAAAGGGCGCTTGGAGTGCCCGTTCGGGATGGGAGATGTGAGCTGATAGTAGAATATAGACCGAACATGATGGCCACTCAATAACTCTTTTGCAAACCGCAACACCCAAAAGGAGAGAGAGAGAGCAAAAGGGAACGCCCTGCCACAGAGGCGGGGTGGGGGGGATGGGTGGGGGTGGTGGGAGAGATACTGGGGTCATTGGTGGTAGAGAATGAGCACTGGTGGAGGGATAGGTACTCGATCATTGTATAACTGAACCGTAAGCACGAAAGTTTGTAAGTCTGTAACTGCACCTCATGGTGCTTCATTTAAAAATTAAAATAAAATAAATTAATTTCCCAAGCAGACCAATAGTAAAGGAAATACTGTTATTAAGGGAACATGCAAGTGGGGAGAGAGGGAGAGGCGTGCAGGGAAGGAATGAGGAGGGTGAGAGAGGGGAGAGGGCACAGAGGAGCACATAAAAGAGGAGACTGGGGCATGAGCTGGGGTTTGGGTGACTCATGGCGTACAGGTCAGTCATGCTCAGCCCCTGGAGGGGAGAGGGAGACACGGCACATGCCCATGTCCACCCCCGCATCCGTCTGCACCTTCCAGGCTTTGTTTCCACAGAACAAGGGTGAAGCTCGGGGGAAGAGGGAACGTGCTGGGACGTGTCCTCAGAGGGTCAGGGCCAAGCAGGGGAACTGCTGGACGCAGGATTCAGTCGAAGGCAGGCCTGGGGGCTGCTTAAGTAGGGAGAGGGAGAGACGCTCTTTTCACCTTCCCTAAGCTGGAGGGATGAGTGCTCCCTGGGTAGGGTAGGGGCTGGGGGAGCAGGTGTCTGCGGCTGCCTCCCAGGCACCCACAGGAGGAGGAGCCCCACCAGATTTAGAAGAATCTCAGGGATTCTTCTCCCAGGCTATCCTCAGGCCAATCTCACCCTCAATTTCCCCCTTTATCTCAATTTCCCCCTTTATCTCTCCATCAGTGTCACCAACTTCCCTCAGGCCTGGCCTGTGCCCTGACCTGCCCCCTAGGTGCCCCCAGGGCTCAGAAGCCTCCCTCCTTCTCCCCACCTTCTCAGGAGGAAGAAGGAGCCTGGGCTGAAGCAGTTCCCCCAGCAGGAACACCTGGGAGGAGGGAGAACCCTCCATTAGGGTATGATTCGGGCACCAGCCGCCAGGACAGCAGCACCTAGTGACAGCAGGGATCCCCCCAAAGGCAGAAAGATCTGGCAGGGAGCTGGGCAGCTCATACCTGGAATGGGCAATGGGGACCTGGCCCAGGAGTGATGCGAGCCATCAACCAGCCAACTCAGGTGACCAAGCCCATCCTGAGCACAGAGCCCCGAGCTCCATGCTCCCCACCTCAGTAAGCCAAGAGGGATGACCTGCACAAACCCAGAAGCGGGCCCTCAGGAGCCAGAAAGCTGCTCCAGGCAGCCTGGGAAGACACCTCTGACCCCCCTCAGCTTCCCACAGCACCTCACACTCCTGGCCCCAGTGGACGGCAGGGCCAGGTGGGGGCACAGAAGCACCTGCAGTCCACTCCCAGCCTCCCAGGGATCCACAAGCTGAGACCTGAGTACTCGGAACCCAGGACAGCTGGCCTGGCACCCCTTAAATAAAAGCACACACACATATACACACCCATGACACACAAACACACATATACACACCCATACACACATATATACGCACATCCATCTGCACACACATACCCACACTCACACATATATACACACATCCATCTGCACACAAATACCCACACTCACACATATATACACACATCCACACAGACACACATACCCATACTCACACATATATACACACATCCATACAGACACACGTACACATATACACACATCCATGCGCACACATCCACACCCATACACACACATACATACACATATATACACACATAGATGCACACATCCACACCCATACACACAAACACACTCACACACACATATATACACATACACACATCCGTATACACGTACACATACACACGCACACACACATATATACATTTATACACATACATACACATACACACACCTCAGCGCAAAGACGCACAGGGCCGGGCGGAGCGGGCGGCGGGTCACGTGCGCGCGGGGCGGGGCGGGCGGGGCGTGGCGGGCGGCGGATCACGTGTGCGCGGGGCGGGGCGCGGCGGTCACGTGGGGCGCGGCGGTCACGTGGGCGTGGGGGTATTTAGGCGCGCGGGCTGGGCACGGAGCAACCCGGCGGGCGGAGCTCGGTGAGTGCGGATGCGGGTGACCTTGGTTGTCGGGGCCGGGGCCTCAAGGCGGGATGGGGGTAGGGGGATGAGCGCCGAACACGGGGCGGACCCTCAGCTTAGAACCGCGCTCGAGGCGGGGCTGCGGGAGGCCTCCTTCGGGGACACCCAGGCCGCCGGGGGATCAAGCGCCCCCCGTCTGCCGGCCGCCTCGGAGCGTCGGGCGGGAGAGTTCTAGAAGCCGGCGAGCTGGGCCGTCCGGGGGCCCGGGCAGGTGCACGCACCCGGCCCCGAGTCCGGGGCTTCAGCTGTGCGTCCACCCACCAGGTGCTGCCCGGGACGGGCTGAGACCCGAGGCCGGGCCTGGCCGCCCTGCAGGCGAGGCAGCCGCAGAGATGGGAGCGTTCGGCGCCTTTGATGCTGCCTGTGGTCAGAGCCCTGAAGTGCCCGGCCTTAATTGCCCCTCCCAGCCTCAGAGCCCACACCTGGGCCCTCCTCCGCGCTGCCCGACTGCCTGTTCGCACCTGTGCGGCCGCTGGGACACCCCCCCCCCCCCAAGCCCCCGGAAAGACCCTGCTTCTGGGCCTGCAGGAGGGGGCTCCAGCTTCCCCGGGCCTGGGGGCAGCTGCTGGAGGCCGCGGAGCTGTCCCTTGGCGCTATCCCTTGGCTCGCGGGCGCGGTGCCCCGGCCTCTGTGGGTCACTGAGATAAGCCAGGCTTGGGGGTGCAGGAGGAGCCCGTAAACATCAGAGGTGCTGCTTCTCGGCCTGGGCTGGGTCCCCGACTCCCAGCTCACACAGTCACAGGCTCCCGGGAAGACAGCGCCCACCGGGCGGAACTGGGACCGCTGGGAGCGCGGGTGGAGCAGGTTCTTTGACCCAGATTGGGGCGGGGGGTACCATGACAGCCCAGTGCCTGTGGGCCTCCCATCCGCCCCACCACTCGAGCCTGGCTGAACAGCAGCCGCTCCTCCCTGGCCCTCCCTGGCCCTCCCAGGGGCTCCTGGTCCTCCCCAGGACTCCCAGAGTGGCAGGGAGCGGAGGGAACGGATTTGTGGAAGCTTTTGGATGGGACCAGACCTTCAGAACACTCAGGACCCAGGCAGGAGGCCTCAGACCCAACTTGGCTGCCAGCGAGCCAGAGCTTCCAGAACTTTCCATCACTGCCCAGCTCCAGTGTGCCCCAGCTGGGACCTGGGCTGGTAGTGCGGGGGCGTAGTGCTGGGGCGCCTGACTCTGGGGTGTCTGCCAAGAGGCACCCTGGGGCAGGGGGCTAGGGGACTGACATCCTCCCCGGAAGTCTGTGGGCAGTGTTTGGGGTTCCAGCAGCCCCACCCGAGTGACCTAGGCTGGGACTCGGAGGCCAACAGCTGTAGGACAGGGCCCAGTACCCTCCGTCCCGCAACCCCCACCCCTCAGGCGGTTTTCTTCCCTGGCCCTGGCGTGCAGATGGCTGTGGGTGCCTGCGTGAGCGTGTTGGGGCGCTCGTTCCTTTTTTTGGGGCCAGGGGCGGGGGACTCTGCCACACTCTTGGTGCCACACTATTGGCCACTCCCAACTGTTCTGGGACAGAGCTGGGGTCAGCCTGTCAGCGGCTGTGCGCCTCTGCCTTCTCTCTGCCGTCCCCTCAGTTTGGGCGACTGTGTGGCAGGGTCCTGATGGGGCCATGATACTGGGTGCTTCAATCAGGCTCTGCAGTTGGGCAGACAAGATCTGGCCCACTGCCCCTCTCAGCCCTTCCTTGTGGGAGGGTCCCTGGTCACTTGACACCCCTTCCAGAACCTTCTGCAGAGCCTGCAGGGAAGATGTGGTCCTGGCACCCAAAGGGAGAAATGGGGGCCCTGAGATGACCCGGGAGGGTGCCGAGTGCTGTGTGTCCTCTGGTCTGCGGGAGCGTCACGGTGACAATGGCCAACTGTCCCCATCCCAGGGGACTTCCCTCCTGGATATGGTTACATCGGCCCAGCTGTGCCATGTCCCAGGGGACTTTCCTTCTGGGAAAGGATGGGGTTTGCTGAGCTGGGTGGCTCCTGCTGCGGGTCCATCACTAAGGGTTGGGGACAGCGGGTCTGTCACTAGGGGTGGGGGAGACGGTGAGTCCCATCCCCAGGGACCCAGCATGGAGGCTGAAGCTAAGGGTCTGGGTCCCCCACTTTTCTCCTGAAAAGGGAAGTGAGCAAGTAGCTGGCTGTGGGCCTGGCACAGAGAGTGACGCCCACCTTGGTCCTGCCACAATTTGTCCCATAGTCAGGAGCCCGGCACATGCTCCCATAGGGGCACCTTCCCAAGTCCAAAGCGGCCAGGGCGGCACGTGGAGCCCACGGGGGGCAGGAAGTGCACTGGGGGAGGGAGTCCATGGGCAGCCACTTCTCTTGGGGGTGCAGGGGCTGCTGGTCTTGTGAGAGAAATGGGGGTCTGAGGATCGCCGGCAGGCAGGGTGCTTGTCAGGCACACGATCCCGGCACCACGCGTTGCTGTCCGTGGCCGCAAGAGTAGGTGGGCACCTCTGGGTGTGGTCTTGCCCCAAAACAGCACCTGCTGGCCCACAGACAAGAGGCGGCCCTCGCAGAGACCCATTGTCCTCTCTGTCCGTGAGGTGTCCTCGGCTTAATGGGGGTCACCCACCTGGTTTTGGAGTTGGCCAGACCTGGGCTCTGACCTGACACTCTCGGTTCGTCGCTGCTTCCTGTCCCCCTCCCCGGGGCTGGCCTGGGTACTGCCCCATTCTCTCTCTCCCAACCTTCTGGTTAGCGGGTCCTGGGCCCGCCCAGCTGTCCTGGGTCTCCATGTTGTCACTTTCTTCAGTCTACCCAGGAAGTCCTGCCTTGTGCATTTCTGGACACTTACCTAGCAGGGGCTGCCCCGCAGTGCTAGTTAGACTCAGCCGGTACCCGCCCTGCTGGGTCCATCTCCCGGGCACCCCATCGTCTGCTGTTTCTGACGGCCTCCTCCCGACTATGTTGCTGTCTCCTGGTTTGGGGGTCACATGCCATGATGTCAGGCCTGACTCATGGCTCTGCTCACTCCTGGCTCTGTGTTCAGGGCTTGCTCCTACCTCTGTGCTTGGGGCTCACTCCTGGCTCTGTGCTCGGGGCTCACTCCTGGCTCTGTGCTCGGGACTCACTCCTGGCTCTATGCTCAGGACTTGCTCCTGGCAGTACCCTCCCTGCCCAACAGAGAATGTTTGTCATCTTGACTTCCATTTGGGGACGCCTTTGTTCTGTGCACACGGCTGAGTGTGGGCACTGCCGGGAGCGCTCCCTGCCCCAGGAGGCCAGGTGGGGGTGGAGTTCACTTCTGTGCCCCCTCCCCCCATTCCCAGAACTCTCCCCCTCTCACTCCTGGGGAGCTCTGGGGCAGAAAGGAAGGCAAGCAGGGGCTGCCTGGCCGGCCAGGTGCGTCATACCCCGCACGGCGCATGTGAGTCAGCCTGAGCTGGAAGGGGCGTGTCTGGACCGTGGGACTCCCTGCCCACTGCCTCCCACCTGACCTGAAACTGCTCTACCCACCCCCTGCCCGCCTCCCTCTTTATGAACATGGGCCTAAAGTGGGGGGCCAGCTCCCCATTGCTGTGGCCTTGGGAGCCTCCGGCCCCAGTCCAGGGACCCCACTCTCATCACCAGCTGGTCCCTTGAGTCTGCAGGCCACACGTTGGGGGTGGGGGTCGGGCAGCCGTGCCGTGTCCCTCAGCTTCTGTGGCCACAGTGGGGTCAGGTTTTCATGGCCGTTGGGGTCTCTTGTGGGAAGCTGCTCCCCCTGTGGGATGCTGCATCCTGGAACCTTCCCCACGGGAGCTGGACCCCAGCCTGAATGTCGGGGACACTTGCACCCCCACAGCGTGTGGGGGGCAGCAGTGGGACCTGGACGCAGCAGCCCCTGGAGGACCCTCTGCCACGCGTGTGCGCAGGTTGGCCGGGACGGAAGCCCTCAGGGGCTCTGAGCACGGCCAAGCTGACCCGGCTCCTCCTAGGGGAGTACAGGACCCGCTTCCAAAATGTGGCAGCTGCTGGCCACGCTGAGCTGCGTGACGCTGCTGGCGGGGGTGCAGGGTGCCCCAAACTTCCCACCCCTGTCAGATGAGCTGGTCAACTATGTGAACAAGCAGAACACCACGTGGCAGGTGCGTGCGGGGGGGGGGGGGGGATGGAGAGAGGGGGAGGTGCAGGCACGCCTGGGTGTATGGTCAGGGGAGGGGTGTGTGCAGCTGCGTGAGGGGGAGGGGTGCGTGCTGCTGCATGTGGGTGTGTGCAGGGAGCAGGGTGCGTGCCGTGGGGTCCCTGCCCAAGGAGGTAGCTGTGGTGTGGCTGAGGACACGGACAGTGGCACCATTCAGACACGGGTACCCTGGCTGCACCCATGGTGCGGCCACCCTGGGCCCCAGAGCCCAGACCTGAGGCTGCCCAGCCCTGGCGGCTGGATGACCGACGCACGGCTCTTCTGCAGGCGGGACACAACTTCCCCAACGCGCACCTGAGCTATGTGAAGAAGCTGTGTGGGACCGTCCTGGGAGGGCCCCGGCTGCCCCAGAAGTAAGTGTGGGCACGGCTGGACAGTGGCAGGGACGGGAAGCAGTTTCTGTACTTGGCTCCTGTTCTTGATAACAGGCCCCCAGTGGACAAAGGGGCTTTTCTAGAGTGGATTGGAGTCCGGGTGGGCTACCCCTTGGGCTGTGTGGAGCCCCCAGGCCTGCCTTGTCCCCTACCAGACACAGTGACCCCTTCCTGTCCCCCCCACTCCGCCCCACTGGCCTCACCTCATCCCAGAAATGGTGACCCCTGCCTGCCCCCCTCCCGCCCCGCCTGCCTCACCCCTTCCTGGACACGGCAGCCCCTGCCTGTCTCCCGCCACCCTGCCCTGCCAGCCTCAGCCCCTCTCGGACACGGTGACCCCTGCTTGCTTGTCCCCAGAGTGCAGCTGACCGAGCCCATCAAGCTGCCCGAGAACTTTGATGCCCGTGAGCAGTGGCCCAACTGCCCAACCATCAAGGAGATTCGCGACCAGGGCTCCTGCGGCTCCTGCTGGGTGAGGCCTGTAGGGACAGTCACCGGCGTGGCAGGGGTCGGAGGGTGGGCTGGACCCTCATTGAGCCTGCGCTTCACCCATAGGCCTTTGGGGCAACCGAAGCCATGTCTGACCGCATCTGCATCCACACCAGTGGGCGGGTGAACGTGGAGGTGTCGGCCGAGGACCTGCTCACCTGCTGCGGCCTCCAGTGTGGCGAGGGGTGAGCGCCCAGCCCAGTGTCCCCCCACCCAGAGCCCCCTGCCCCCAGTGCCCTATCTCACTGCCCGCGGGCCCATGCGCTAAGCAAGCCGCTCTTCCCTTAGCTGTAACGGGGGCTTCCCGTCTGGAGCATGGAATTTCTGGAAGAAACAAGGCCTGGTGTCTGGGGGTCTCTATGACTCCCACGTGGGTGAGTGGCCCGCGCCTGGTGGGGGAGGGCGTCTGGGAGGGTGCGCCCCCCCACCCCCCGGGCTGACCACCTTCTGGCCTCCAGGCTGCAGGCCCTACTCCATCCCGCCCTGCGAGCACCATGTGAACGGCTCCCGGCCCCCCTGCACAGGAGAGGGGGGTAGCACCCCCAAGTGCAGCAAGAGCTGCGAGGACGGCTACGGCTCCACCTACAAGGAGGACAAGCACTATGGTACGGCCGGCACCCGCACTGCTCCTTGGGGGGAGGTGGTGGGTGCCTCTCGGAGGGAGTGTGTGTGCGTGCGTGTGTACATACGTGTGTGAGTGTGCATGCATGCAGATGCCTATGCAAGCTGCCACACAGGCTGGGTCCTATGCGGACACTCCTGGGCCACAGCAGCCCCCTCACATGTCCCGGCCCTGCAGGCTGCAGCTCATACAGTGTGTCCAGTGACGAGGAGGAGATCAAGGCTGAGATCTACAAGAACGGCCCCGTGGAGGCGGCTTTCTCCGTCTATGGTGATTTCTTCGCATATAAGTCAGGTGTGTGCCCCGGCCAGGGGAGGGGAGGGGGGCTGCATCTTCTGTACCTGCCAGGTGTCCCCTCGTCTCATTACGGGCTCTCTACCAACCACTCACGACCTTTTATTGGGCCTGACAGCAGGGCGAGGAGGCGGGCACCTGGGACCCCCTTCCCAGATCCAGGCCCGCGACCTGCTTCCATTCTACTCCCCACCCTTCAGGGGTGGGCCGTGGGTGAGTCTGCAAGGACCAAACCTGGACTTCAGCTCCCACCTGTTTCCCCTTGTGACCTTTTTTGTTTTTGTTTTTGGCTACACCCAGCAACACTCGGGGCTTCCTCCTGACTTTGTGCTCGGGGGTCACTACTGGCAAGACACCAAGGGGTGCCAGGGGCCAAACCTGCATTGGCCATGTGCCAGGCAAGCGCCCTCCCCGTTGTGCTCTCTCTCGGCCGCTCTGTGACCTAACGTAGGAAGGAGCCGAGAGGAGCCTGCAAGAAAGAAGGAAGGATTCTGTTTCTGTTGCCTGGTCAGCAGCACCTTCTCTTGGACGAGCCCCCCCACCCTGAGATCAGGGCTCGTCCCTGCTGGGGGCCTGCTGACCTACTGAGCACCCCTTTCTCAGGCGTGTACCAGCACGTTGCCGGGGAGATGATGGGCGGCCACGCCGTGCGCATCCTGGGCTGGGGCGTGGAGGACGGCACCCCATACTGGCTGGTGGGCAACTCCTGGAACACAGACTGGGGTGACAACGGTGAGTGGCAGTGTGGGGACAGGGCGGGAAGGCGCCTACCTGGTGCCCCTGCTGTCCAGCACTGACCGCTGACTGTCCTGCCCACCACTCCCCAGGCTTCTTCAAGATCCTGCGTGGCCAAGACCACTGCGGCATCGAGTCCGAGATCGTGGCCGGCCTGCCCTGCACGGAGCATTACGTGCACAGGCTGTGACCCGCATGCACCGCCAACCAGGTGCGGCGGCCCTGGGGAGGGTCTCAACATGCCCATCCTTGTAGTGCTGTCACTCCTGTTCCCCTACCAATCCCCACAAACGAAGGGGCGACTTAGGCTCCACACGGTGCCGGGCAGGGTACCGGCTGCCGCGTCCAGCTTGCCCTCGCATGGCATTCTGACCCAGGCTGTGCCATGCGCCTCAGCTAATCATGTGGACTGAAGACTGGCCAGAAGTGTGTCCTCCTTACAACAGAGCAAGCCCCACCCGCAGGGAGGGACCCCCACTATTCAATCACTGCTTTCACCAATGGGCATGGCCGTGCCAATCAATAAAAGGTTTCTCCTGTGCGGGCTATCCTGATGTCTGTGTGCCAGAGCCCCTGGGAGGGGCTGTCCTGCACTCACTCTCTGGTTACTCTGTCCAATGCTGGGCATGAAGAGCCGGTGTATGGCAGAGACTGGCAGCTAATTTGAAAGGTGGACCCTGGTCCCTGGCACAGCACAGCATAGCTCTGGGCCAGGAGGGATCCCCTCAAACGATCAGCTGTAACGGTTCCCAGCAGCCAAGGGGCCCCCCCACTCAGGAGCCCTGAGCCCCATTGGGTGTGACCCCCAAGCCCTAAGCCAACCGGGCAACTGCAGAGGGCAGAGAGGCCCGTGGGTGCCGAGGAAGGAGCCCCTCTGCCCTGTGGGGAAACAAGACTCCAAGGACAGGAGGCCAGCAGCCTGGTGTTTATTAATCATTGCCACGCAGCACCTCTGTGTCAACTTGGATCTCCGCACATTGCAATAGGCCGCCTCCTTGGGGCCCTGCTACTGCCCTACTGGCTGGGCTTGCCTGCAGGCCCGGTTTGGGGAGGGCAACCCGTCATAGCAGCGCCCATGTCCAGCTGAGTCCAGGGTCTATAAGGGATCGAGGCCGGGGTAGTACTGTCCAGAAAGGTCCGGCCCGGCCGCGCATCTCAATGCTCCCCGCCCTGCACATAGTCCCCCGTGAACTGGGTCAGGGTGCTGAGGTACTGCCAGCTCAGGGCGGCCAGCAGCATGGCGCAGGACAGGTAAACGGGCAAGTAGTGGCTCCTGGACACCAGCTGGCAGTTAGCAAGGCTGTGTGTGCGGACGCTGCAGATGAGCTGCTTGGTCCTGCTGGAGGACGGGTCTGAGTCGGGGATCCTCTGATAGATCTGTGGAGAGGAGCATGAGAGGTGTGAGCGGCCCCCTCACTTCTTACTGGCCCGCTGGCCCAGGGCATGGCTCAGGCAAGGCCAGTAGGCACCGCCAGGAAGACACTATGGCCGACTGTGGGTTGCATCCTTCACCCAAAGCCTCCTTTGGGCCTCACCACAGCCTGGGTTTCTTTGTCCACTGGTCTTGGGGCCACCCCGGGGAACAGGCAGGATGCAGCTGGAGGGGCCGAGCCTGGACCTCCTGCAGACAAAACCAAGGGAGGCCTCCGCCCCCACAGACAGCAAGTTTGCATGGAAATGCTCTTCAGCTGTGCTCGCCGTGTGCTGGGTCACCCATCTACCACTCAAGGCGCAGCAAGGGGTCAGTTGAGTCCCAGGGAGGGGCAAACAGCTGTGCTGCGCTGAGGTCAGATGGAGGCCGGAGAGTCTGCACTGCCAGTAATGGACATTCATCTGGGCCTCGGAGACAGACACCAAGGAGTGTCCAACCACATCACCTGTGCCCACAACCAAACTTCACTCCTGTCACCAGGAAGCACAAGGGCCCCATTGGAGCTGAGCCAGGAGGGGCGTGCACACACCCTGTCTCACAGGCGGCCCCATGCCCAGCCTGACTGTACAGCAGAGCAGCCCCACGGCCACCCACACTGTCCCCAGTCGAGTGGACAGGCCACAGGCACACGCACCTCTCTGAGAGGCACCAGCTCCTGCTCACTGTGGCAGAGGCCTGGGGCCAGGTGACACCACCCCGGTTGGTAGAAGAAGGGCCATTCAGCTGCCTGCAATCATGCTGAGATCAGCAGGCCTTGGGCCCAGATTATGGCCCCAGCTCTGGGGTCAGCATCCAGTTCTCAGGATATAAATAGCACCCGCCATGAACTGGGCCAGGCAGGCAGCTGGCAAGAGGCCACTGGATTCCACACGTATCCTGGGCGGGGGTTGCTCACTAAGGGTTGCAGCACATGAGCCCCTGCTGAGGCCGGAACGGACTCTGCGTGTAACAGCACCCGCCGGCTGAGGGGCCCACGTGCTCGGCCTCGCTCTGGTTCCAGCACCCTGGGTCTCCTAAGCTTCACCAAGTGTTGCCCTGGGGTCCGACAGCACGGAGCCAGGGAGGTCTGGGTTATCTGTCCTAGCACTGGATTCCTGGCCCACAGCAGAAATTGGCGTCTAAGGAACAGCGACCAGGTCAAGCAGGGTTAGGGCTCCCTCCGGGGCTAGGAATGAGAACGAGGGAAACTGAGGCGCCTGTATGCTGACAGTCCACTCTGGTTTCCTGTCCAGCCTCTCTCTGGAGACTGGAAGGACTGAGCCTTGGCGACGCCCTCCCCTCAGCCCCTCACAGAGCCTGGCAGGGCACCCACCTCTTCCATGTACTGCTGGAATATGGCTTTGACGGCGGGCAGGTTGGTGGCGTCCATCATCAGGGTGACCGCCTGCCCTTTGCGGATCTTCACCACCCCCTTGAACACCTGCTGGTTGTTGTAACAGGCAGCCAGCGTGGCGATGGCCATGACCTGCAGAGGCAGGAGAGAGCACGTCCGTGTGACAACGTGCAAAGCACCACCGGGACAGGCTGGCCCTGTGTCCGCATGACCATCCCAGAGCGAGGCTGGGCCTCAGTGGGGGCCACAGGGCTGGGCTGTGGCCTTCCCAGGAGCATGTCTGTCAAGAGACCCAGCATAAAGGTTTCTCTCAGAACAAAGCGGGGGCACTCGGCACCAGGGCCAGCACCCTGGCCCAACTCCACTGGGACAGGAAATGCCCGGCTAGGCTGCTTCCTTGTCTGTGATTCTCAAGGTGAAGGTGGGCAGCATCTCCAGAGACAAGCCGCAGAGCATCCCCTGCTGGGGCTGATCAGGTAAGCGGGGCCAAAGACAGCCGCAGACTCCAGCTCAGCACCACCCAAGCCAGAAAGCACATTCCACGACTCAGCCTCCAGGTGAGTGTCTTTTTTTTTTCTTTTTGGGCCACACCCTGCAATGCTCAGGGGTTACTCCTGGCTCTGCACTCAGGAATTACTCCTGGTGGTGCTTGGGGGACCACATGGGATGCCAGGGATTAAACTGGGGTCAGCCGTGTGCAAAGCAAACGCTCTACCCCCTGTACTATTGCTTTACTATTGCTCCAGTCTTCCAGATGACCACCTTAAGTGTCAGGAAACACTTAAATCATGAGAATGTGGAATGTTCTAGCACATTCTAGGACTCACGTCCTTAGCATATTCTAGGACTCACGTCCTAAATAACAAAGGACAGGGCCCACAGGATGGGGCTCAGTATCTGCATCCAGGAGGGACAAGACCATGTGCTTCTCAGTCTCGTCACTGACACCAGTGTCACGCGTCCTGCAAGCCCCCAGAGCCTGAGGCCTTGGCTTCCAACTGAGAAGCAGGCTCTGACCAGTGCAGAATGGCCAATGGAAAAGTGGAGGAACAACGGCAGATTCCAGAAAGAGCCGTGCGTGCTGCTTGGGGCTGGAGACAAGGTTATGATCTCCATGAAGGAAAATCAACCGTCCTCTTTGAAGGGACCTCCCTGAGTGCAGCACCTCCAGCTCATGACAGCGGACATGGTCATTAGTAAGCAGGAAAAGGAACCCCTGCCTGCGCACCTGTGGGATGGCGCAGAAGTTGAACACGCTCTGGTTCCTCAGGCGGGAGAGGTAGGTGAAGACGTCGGGAACATGCTGCAGCGCGTTGGTGACCAGCTCGTTCAGGCACTGCACCGCCAGGTCCAGGTTCTGGGGCTCGGGGAAATCTTCCAGCTTCTTGACATACTTGCTCCACACCTGGGCAGAGAAGGATACTGACGGCATGCCAACCGCAACACACACCCCAGGAGCAGGGCAGCCACACTGGGGTTGCCTGTGCCCCACAAGCGTGGACCCCAATTACAGCGCTGGGGGTGTCACCTCTCAAGGACCTGGCTCATCTAAGGGATGGAAAACAAGACTACAGAAAGGAAAAAGGGGCCAGAGCAACAGAGATGAACCCAGGTTGAATGCTGGGCACCGCACATGGTCCCCTGAGCACTTTCAGGAGTAATCCCTAAGCACGGAGCCAGGAGGAGCCCCAAGCATCACTGGGTATGGCCCCAAAACAAAACAAAACAATTTTAAAAGAATTATTTTATAGCACAGGATTTCAACTTCTGGAACAAATCCTCATCTGCAGGGCCGGCTGGTTGACCAGAGCTCCGCAATCAAGCCAACAACGAGCTTGTAGGTCTGGCCACTGCAAGAACCAGAGGCTCTCGGCAGGAGAGGGATGAGTCTCCCGAGGGGGTGTCCCACAGCTCCGATTGTGAGGCAGGGAGCCGACTGGAGCATGAGGCCACCACACTGCCCACAAGGCTTTTGGGAGGCATCGTGACTCCCAGGGTCCCAGGACTGTCCTTTCTCTGAATCTGGCATCAGGGAAGGACCGCGAGCTGCCTGTCCCCTGGAGGGCAGGAGCCTGTTTCCAGCGAAACCGTCTGCTGGAGGATCCATTTCTCTCCCTGCCTAAACCAGTATGGGCTGAGGGGAGGCCTGGCCCAGCATCCTTCTTTCCTGTTCTGTGTGCTGGGCAGATAAAACCTGGCTCTGCCAAGAATACGCAGCCTTCTAGACAGTCAGTGGCTAGGGGCCAGAAGCTAGCAGGCGGGGGACACGGGCTGTCGCACCTGCAGTAGCAGAGGGGAAGCCTGTTGAGAGGCAGAGTGCACAGAAACTCACCCGAGCCCAAAGCCCAGAGCCCGGAAGTTTCCATAGCCATGCACGTGGAGGGAGGCAGTCCAGCCACACGGCGACCTGTCAAGCGTGAGTGGTTCCCAGCTGAGAGGCCCTGAGCCCCGCCTGCCCTCACCTCCTTAGGCCAGAACACTCTGCCCTCCCGGAGGTCCTCTAAGAAGTCGCGGATGATGTTGGTCTTCTGCAGGAACAGGCCCATAGAGTTGGACAGTGCCGTGTCTTCACCACACATGGGGTCTTCAAGCCCAGAGGCCGAGAACAGACGGGAAAGGCCAATGCCCACCAGGCCAGCAACGTAGTGGCAGTACTGCAAAAGTAAGTGAGAGGAGCACCTCAGTGGATAGGGAGAGGAAAGGGCTGAGGCCTGCCACTCTTGGGGCTAACAAGACCCCAGGTCCTGTGTGAGGAGCAGTGACAGTGACCCCCAACAACAGGCGACGCCCATGATGTGGACCAGGGACACCCACACACTCAATGATGGAAGGGAAGAAAGAAACACCAGTTTTGAGATCTGAAACTACTGACATCTCCCGATCACATGCAGTGGGCAGGGCCACACAGCAATGTTTCACGTCCGGGTCAGTACCCTACTCTCAGTCCTGGTGGTGAGACAGGCGGGTAGGAAGACCAGAAGGTCTCAGGGGGCCCTGTCCTCCCAGCAACCCCCCTCCCCCACCGCCCCAAGGTCACTGACCTTGTCCCACTCGCTCTCCGAAGTCACTCTCTTCTCCAAGTACTCCGCCATCCCACAGCCCATTTTCTGGCAGGTATCGGCAATCACGGTGCGGAATCGCTCGGCCAGATTTCTAAACTCCAGGGAGATCTGAAATGAAGGGCACAAGCAACAGAAAGCAAGAGCTAAGCACTCCCACTGGTGACACCATGGCCGCCCCATGGCGACAGAACAAAATACCTGCGGAGCGTAGCACACGCAACTCGCCAGAGGCTGGTCCAGAGCCTGACCACTGTGACAGTGATACTGTGGCTCTAAGGAGGAAACACTTGCAGAGGCTGGCTGCATGGGACTCCAAGGACCAATTCCTCATTCCCACAGACTCAGGAGCACAGGTCACTGCCAGGAGCTGGGCACTAAGAGAACCTACCAGAGCCACATACCCTGTAGTATCATGGGCCAGGAGTGGGGGACAGGGGTGTGGACCATGTCTGGCAGCACAGCCACTAGTGGTCACTGGGCGGGGCAGTGACTTTCTCCCACTTTCTGCAGAGCTCTGTTGTCCTGGTCACTGTTTCACAACGAGGGCCCTTGGGTCCCAGACTGTGTGGCAAGTGCCCTGGTGGAATGGACCTGTGCCATGTGGGGGAAGGGCAGTGTGGGTCTGCCAACAGGCAAACAAAACGGGCACCAACCCCCTCAGACGCTGTGATGGGAGCTGGTGCTCTCGGCCTCACCTGGAGCCCTGCTCTGCTCTGGGCGCCCATGACCCCCAGTGCCCAGTTCAAGCCCTGGTCCAGCCACTTCCCTTGGGGGCTCTCAGGCAAGGGCGGCACTAGCGTCAGTTCTGGGGCCCAGGACCTGTGCTGCTCGCCCAGGGTCCTTCCTGGGCAGTACCAAGCCAGTCCTGCAGAGGGGCTAGGTAAGGCGACTCTACTCCAGTCTCAACTGGGGGCCGTGAGGTCCCTGAAGCCCCGACATAGTCCAAGGGGGTCACAGATGAAAAACCACATAAATGGGGCCTCCAGTAGGAAACGGGGTCGGGATGGGGGCATGGTGGAGAGAAGCTGCGGGCACTGCTCCAGCCACAGTGCTCTGTGTCTAGGCCGGTTCAGAGAGCCTGGCCAGGACACTGGTGGCACCAAGGCACAAGGCGCCCAGGCCCACTCTTCCAAGTGCAGCCTAGCCGTCTGGGAAGGGACAGGTTAGAGTTCGCGAGAAGTACCCTTAAGTTGGGGGTCTGGGCTACAGAGGAAGACCCGCACACCAGGCACAGCCTTTCACAACCACCCATCAACCCCAGGTCTACTCCAAAAGTGCATTCATGTCTGTCTTCCATGGCAACAACGCACTGGGGGATTTGTGGAAATTCACAGCGAGCCAAGCATGCGTCTTGCAAGCAGGGGCCACAGTCTGATCCCTGGCACCAGACAGTCCCCCAAGTACAGAGCTGGGAGCAGCCCCTGAGCACTGCTGAGTTGGGCCCCAACATGGGGAGGAAACTCCACAGAACCAACCAGGTAGAGGAGCGAGTCCTTCCCGGGTATGCACGCACATTCTGGGCGAGCAGGACCCAGCCACCTAGCTGAGCACAAAGCATCAGGACACACCGACCCCATGGGCAGGAGCAGAGAGCTAGAACTTGCAGCTCAGCAGGGTCCCCCGTCCTCACGGCCTACAAATCTGCCAGCCCTACGCTACTGGCTCCATGTCCTGCGCTCAGGGCCCTGCGCCTGGAATGCTCAGAACTGCCTCAGCCCTCAGTCCTCACAGCAGAAGCAGGGGCCGCCATTAGCCCAGTTTTAAGGAGAATGCTGCAGACCCAGTCAGCCCGGCTAGCGTGGGGAGGGACGGAGCCCAGCACACACCGTAGGGAAGTCCTCCAGCACTTGGCGGTCCTTCTCCTGACTCTCCAGGAAGCACCAGTCCGGCTCATACAGGTAAGAGTGGAAGTTCTGCAGCATGGGGACCTTCCAGTCTATGGGGATCGTCATGTCATCCTCCACTGTGTCCAGAGCCCGGAGCACCAGGTAGAATATGCAGACAGCATGGCTGGAAAAGAGGAGCCAGGTCAGCAAATACCCGGAAGGGCTCCAGCAGGCCAGGCAGGGGGTCCCGCACCTTCTCCCACTTTCTGCAAGAGGCCGGATGGCCTTCTGCAGTCAACAAGATGAACCTGCCAGCTGGACATCACCACCCACCCAGCTGAGCTGTGAAGAACAACTGTGTGAGACCCAACTGAAGACCAACTGCTGAGACTGAATATTTTGACAGATTTTTTAAAAAATCTGGGCTGGAGGACAGCATGGCAAGTACCACGCAGCCTCACATTCAGTCCCCCCTAGTTCCATCCCTGGCAACCCATATGGTCCCCGAGTCCTGCCAGGAGTGATCCCTGAGCATGAAGCAAGGAGCGCCAGGTGTGGCCCCCAAAACAAAAATAAAAAACAAGTTGAAGACATGCATATCTCAAAACACCGTCATTCAGGAGGAAAGACAACAGGTCTGAGCTCCAGTTCCCACCGGGAACTTCAGAAGGACTACCCCAACAGCTGCAAACACAAAGTAGCAGAAGCCGAGAAAGACGCGTGTCCTGCTCGTTGGACGCGCCGGGGAGAGGACAAAGGCCGTGGGGGTGCAGCTGCTGGGGGCAGCCGGCCCGCCCTCCCTGGCCACTCACCGCAGCTCCTCGTCCAGCGCCTGGATGACGGCCGAGAAGCTGCGGCTGGTCTGATCCAGATACCTGTAGCATGTCTTCATGCTGCTGCTGAGCGCGTCCTGCGGGCACAGACACGGGGCGCTGGGGCACGGCGGGGCGGGCAGGCGGTTCTGCGGACCCCCGCCTGCCCCGCGTGGCCAGCGCCTGCAAGGCCCAGCAGCGGGCACGGGGCAGCCGCGCGGCGGGGGCCGGCCCAGAGTCCGCTGCAAGAGGGACAGGGCCTTGGCGGCCATGGGAGAGCGGGGCTGCTGGCGGCGGCCCCCGGAGACCCGGGCGGAGACACGGGTGGGAGGTGCCCACCGCGGGGCGGGAGCCCAGACCCGCGGGGACGCGGCCGCAGGGCCCGGAGCCCCACCCCAGCCCACCCCCGCGGGCCCCGCCCCCAGCTCGGCATCGGCTCCGCAAGGCCGGCCGGGCCCAGCCCCGCCCACGCCTCTCAGGGCCCCGCCCTCGGCCCGGCCCCGCCCATGCCCCTCCAGACCCCGCCCCCAGCTCTGCACAGGCCGAGTTCAGCCCTGCCCACGCCCCGCCCCTCCGGCCCCGCCCCCACCGGGTCCCGCTCCCCTGGCCTTTCCCCCCACAGCCCCTGGAGACTAAGACGGGCAGTGAGGTCCTTGGGGCCAGCGCTGTTTTCTCCACAGTGCTCCCAGGGCGCCCCAGAGAAAGCGGGAACAAGGCACACGAACACCTTTGCCCATTCTGGGGCCGATGGCCCGGTGGGCGCGCCAGGGCTAGGGGCTGCGGAGCTGTGGGGGCGGGGGTCTCTGATGCTACACCCGCAGTGCCCAGGGCCCAACAGGGCTTGGTCCCATGCATGCCTGTGCCTTCTCCTGATTCTCTCTGGCTCCTGGAATGCCTTGTAGGAGGGCCACTGCCCAGGCTGAACCAAGAGCTCGCAGTTTGCATTCTCCCTTCTTCAAGGGTCAGTGAGACCGGTTCAGGTTGGGGGGGGGGGTGTGCACCCACAAGCCCTGAGTTTATACAGCAGGTTAAGAACGACCAAGCTCGGGGCACAGGCAACACTGCACAGTGCGAATGTGACCTACAACCCTCTCCAAGCCAGAAAGCAGACACTCAGCCTGGCCTCACCAGAAATCGGCGGGCAGAGGAGGTAGAGAGAGGGGTTCCAGCTCAGAAGGCAGGCGAGAGGATGGGGACTGAGCTGAGACCCTTCAGTATGGGCTGCACCTCTCACTGAACAGGACAGGAGCACCCCAGGGCGGCCAGAATCACCACTCTGGCTGGACTAGAGCAGAAATGGCTATTTCCCTGGACATACTGAAAAGCCCCTAGAATTGTAATTAGTAGTCCAGTTTATCAACCCCAATGCCCTATGAATCCTCTCATGACAGAGATGGTCAGCCTCAGTGTCTCCTGAGAGCACAGCTCCGGCTTCTGCTACTACAGGGCGGACGACCTGTTCCCACTCTAAAAAGGGAAGGACACTGGCCTTGCTCGCGCACCAGCAAGGGGATACATACCTCCGGGGTCCTCCAGGAATGATCCCTGAACACAGAGCCAGGAGCAAGCCCTGAGGACTGCCAGTGCCCCCTCCCCCCGCAAGAAGAGCTCCATGAGGCTAGGGTAGCCCATAGTCCGGTGCCCTTGAGGAAACCCCCGACTCCTGGTTCTGCCAGACCCCAGCAGCGACGCAGCCTCGGGACTCTGCATTTCAGGGAGTAGCCCAGGTTGCTCCCAAACACTGCCTGGGAGGACCCCCAGCCCAGATGAGGAGGTCAGAGAACCAAATCGCTGGGAGCTTGCGGGGGGCCCAGGATGCCCCCTGCCACAGCATGGTCACCAGAGAACCTCCAGAAACTGAGTGGGGTAACCCCAAATCCATAAAAACAAATGAGCAGCCAGTGAAAAGGCTTCTCCTTCCCCTCCCCGTCCACTCTCCAGGGACGAGGCCACTGTGTTCCCAGGAGTCTCACTTTAGAGGAAAACAAGCCACAGGGAAACACTCCGTGCCAGATTACAGCGTCCAAGTGTGCCCCCAACTTCAGACTTCAGCCCTGTCTGCTAGTGTTTCCTACCCAGAAACCCTGATCACCCGGTCTAGTCCAGACCCCCCTGCCCTGTCCCCTATGGGAATACTGGGACCAAGAAACACCCCTCACAGCCTGCACCTTCTCCAGCACCAGCAGCGAGAGCTGGAGGCAACTCGTGGCCTTGTCTGATGAATGAATAAGTGCAACAGGAAGTGAGGAAGAAGGAAGGGAGAAAGGAAGGAAGGGGAAAGGAAGGAAGGAAGGAAGGAAGGAAGGAAGGAAGGAAGGAAGGAAGGGAGGGAGGGAGGGAGGGAGGGAGGAAGGGAGGGAAGGAGGGAGGAAGGGAACGAGGGAGGAAGGAGGGAGGGAGGGAGGGAGGGAGGGAGGAAGGAAGGAGGGAGGGAGGGAGGGAGGGAGGGAGGGAGGGAGGAAGGAAGGAAGGAGGGAGGGAGGGAGGGAGGGAGGAAGGGAGGAAGGGAGGGAAGGGAGGGAAGGAGGGAGGAAGGTAGGAAGGGAAGGAGGGAGGGAGCGAAAGGAAAGAGGGAGAGGAAGGAAGGAGGGAGGGAGGGAGAAAAGGAGGGGGGAAGAAAGAAGGAAGGAGTCGGGAGGAAAGGCCGAGGGAGGGAGGGAGGAAGGCAAGAGGGAGGGGAAGGAGGCAGACGGGTGGGCACTAACCCTGGGCAGCAGCAGGAAGGAAGCCTGGGGGGGGGGGGCAAGGTCACCACCAGCGGCTAACCAGAGTCTGGAGCATCTGAGCCTAGGTGGCCTCAAGCCAAAGTTCCAAGTTCTCCTGACAGGGCTAGGAGCTGGGTGAGTCGAGGGAAGTGACCCAACCGCTGTTCACCAGTCCTGGAAAGGTACAAAGGCAGAGACAAAAGACTTGGCTATGATGTCCAGCCTCAGGCCCCGCCAAATTCATGTCTGGAAATGCCACTGGCCACTGGCCACTGATCACTCAACCTCTGGACTCCCTCCCACGAATTAACTTTCTACTCGGGCATGGGGCCCTGTGTACCTGCTGTCTCCTGGCCACGCTCACGTTCCGGAACCATGGGCACTGGGGGCCATGGGCACTCACCCCCTGACCCCATCACACGTGTGCTGACTGGGAGCGGGGCGTGGCCAGTGGGTGGGTGGAGAGGGCGCAGCAGGCTCTGAGGCCAGGCCCAAGCCAGGCTCAGGCATTTGGCCTCCCTCACAGTGTTTCTGGAAGGTTCTGGGGTGTTTAAATGAGAGCTGTGAGGAGGCGCATAAGCTGCTGCTTAAGCCCAACATGGCACAGGACAAATCAAGGGGCTGTGGTTGAGACACTGTGCCACCCAGGCAGACCTCTTAAAGGGGCGAGGGCAATCCGGGGCGAGTACTAGGAAAAGGATGTCTGCCTTTCGTCTGAAAACACCAGTGACCAGAGCCAGAGATGCAGCTCAGTGGCACAGTTTCTGCCTCACCTGTGTGAGGTCTGGGGTTCAATTTTGGACCACAAAAACAAAGGAGGGCTGGAGCGACAGTCCAGTGGGGAGGGAGTTTGTCTTGCACACAGTCAACCAGGCTTCAATCCCCAGAGCTCCATCAGGTCCCCTGAGCACTGCCAGGAGCGATTCCTGAGGCAGAGCCAGGTGTGGCCTAAAACACACAAAAAAACAAACAAAACCAAATGGAAGCCAGTGAGCATGTGTGACCACTGTAAAAGGTCTTTGTTACCTTAAGAAAAAAAGATCACATAACATGGCAGAAATATATGTTTAAACTTGGGCACAGACCTAACACTTGTTGTCGAGGCTTTTTCTACTTCAGATTAAAAAAAAAAAATGGAATTGCAGCTTCCTTGAGTTTTTGTTTTGGAGGAGGAACCTGGGGCCTCACACATTCCTGGTAGGGCCACACATTCCTGCTAGACACGAGCCCCCTCTGAGGACCTGGGGCCCCTCCACACACGTCTCCAGGTGCACACCAGGTCCTTTCTGAGCACTGCTGGGCACAGCCCTCTGGGCCCGAGTACTGCTGGGGTCTGCTAATTTCTGGTACAAGAATCACGGGGAGGGCACCTCAAAACAAACCAACCTCTTGGTCGCTTGAACACGACTGTGTGACGGAGATGACAGGGACCTGCAGTGAGCAGGTGCACAGTCGAGGCTCTGCTGGCTAAGAGGCCACGGGGAAGAAGGGAAGGGCAGAGGACACAGTATTCTGCTCAAAATGAGTCTTCTGTGTTTTGTTCTGGGGGGATGGGGAGGGGCCACACCGGCAGATCTCAGCTCTCTGGGTGCAGGCAGGGCTGCGGCTGGCCCCCTGCCCTGTTTAGAACTGGGAGGTCACAATCTGGCAAAGCTGTCCCCCTCCCTCACACTTAGAAGCCACTATTTACAGGGGGCACGGGGAGCACCAAGGGTCTCTTCTGAGACTCGTGAACTCCTGGGCAAGCACAGGGCCGCCTGCGGGCCCCACCTGGTTCATCTTGGGTATCACCTTCCTGCCCACCCATTGGAGTGCCCCCTGATGGGAGGGTCCAGCAGGCCGCGGAGAGGGCAGCCCACACAGCGCCCGGGGGCGGGTCTGGAGCACAGCCTGGCTGGCATGGCCCCAAACACAAGCCAGAGACTCCGGGTCAGGGCAGGTGGTTTCCAAACCGAGGGTCCTGGATCAAAACCCGAACCCCAGGAGGAGAGAAATGACCCAGGCCGGCGTCCTGTGGGCGTCTCCCTGGAGCCGGGCCCTGCCCAGCGGTGCCCGGCGTAGGGCGCTGAACTGGCACCTTCACCCGCTGGGCAGGGCTGGTAGTGACCAAGCCCAGAAGGATGGGGAACCTGGTCTGGTTTCCTGGATGGGCCGGGGAACGAGCCGCATGCTTTAAGAGGGGCAGCGGGTCCAAGGTGCCTTTCCAGGCTCTGCCGGACGCTGGGCCGCGAGGCCCCTCCCCTGAGCCGCTCCGACGTCGGGGGGACACCGGGTGGCCAACGCGGGTTGGGGCGCCAGGGAAGGGGGTGGCTTCGAGGGCGGGGGACACGGCGGCTGGACACGGCTGAGGCCCCGCGCCCGGCCCCGGCCCCGGGGGACACGGCTGGACACGGCTGCGGGCCCCGCGCCCGGCCCCAGCCCCGCCGCCCGTGGGATGCTCGGCCCACCTGGTTCATCTTGGGTATCACCTTCCGCCGGCCGCCCATCTGGAAGCGCAGCAGGTTGTAGAACTCCTCGGGGCGGCTCAGGCACTTGACGAAGTCCATGGCGGCGGCGGCGGAGGCGGCGGGCAGAGCTCGGACTCACCTGCGGCGCGCGGCGTGGACACGGCGGCCAGCCGGCCCGCGGGACCGATACCGCTGGGCGCGCGGGGCGGGGCGGGGCGCGGGGGGCGGGGCCGGCGTGGGCCACGCCCACCCCGCGTCCTGCGGGCCCCGTCCCTCTCGCCGCATCCCGGGCGCCGGTGGGCGGGCGGGCGCTCATTGGCCGCGCTCCCTCGAACCAGAAAAGCCCCGGCCAATCGGCGGCGGGACGCGCCTGGCGTGACGCCCGCATCTGGCCGCTCATTGGCGAGCGGGAGAGGCGCCGACCAACAGGACAGCGCTGCTTGGGAGGGCGGGCCTCGGCGCGGGGGCCGGCGGGTGGGCGGACTGACGGGGAGCGCGGGCCGCGCGGCTGCCGGGTCGGCTCGGTGGGGGCGAGGGCGAGGGGGGTCGCCTGGAGTCGGGCCCTGCTCAGCCGCCCGCGGTGCTGCTGCCCCGCACCCTGGGGTGGATTTGGGGGCCACGCTCGGGGGCCACGGTGGTGCCCCGGGGCCCCTGGACGATGCCGGGGTCAGACCCTGCCCAGCCGCCCGGCAGGTGCCGTTTGGATCGCGTGATTCCGGGCCCCGCCCAGCCGCGTGGGGGGCGTGAGAGGCGTGAGGGAACCGTGGGAAGAAGCGTCAGGCCCGAGTCTGCAGGGGGAGTCCTGGGCGGGTCTGGGTCTGCGGGAGGCAGGGGCGCGCCGGGAAGGGCCCAGCCAAGGCCCGTGGAGGCTGGCACCAGTGGGGCCACGCAGAAAGGGGACCGGAAGCTGCATCGAGCAACTGTGGTTTGAACCAGGCCAGATGCCTTTCATCTGGGTCAGAATTTCTATTAGAAAACGACCAAATCATCGCTTGAGAAACCAGCTGGGAACCAACTGGCCACCGAGCTGCCACCAGAGGAGACCCTGGCAGAGCCGACTGGAGCCGCCTCGTCCTTGTTCCTCTGCGCGCTTGCCTCTTTTGTTTCCCCGCACGCCCACCTGCTCGTCTGAGCCGTCTAGCCCACGGTGGGACGGCCCCAGACCCTCACAGGCCCTACTTCTCTGGGGCGTGGGGATAAGCCACCCGCCCCTCTCAGCAGCTTCCTCAGGAAACCCGGCTGCGACGCTCCCTCTCCCAGGTCCCCAGCCCCGTCTCTCCTCTGACCTTCCTCTGCTGAGCTGCTCACACCCCCAGGACGCATTGTGAGGGAATTCTCGGAGGTCGTCTCCTGCCGAGTCCTTCCACTGCAAACTGCATGAGGATGCGTGTCAGGATGGTGGAGCAGGGAGGTCAGGGCAGGGGATATGAACGCTGTGGCCTTCGGAGGCCACCAAAAGCAAATCTTTAAAAGTTCTCACAGGAAGAATGTTTGATGTTGGCTAAATGTGTTCTCATTTTCTTCGCAGAATATACATTATCAAATCACTTTGTGCGTTCTAATGTACCCATTATCTCAACTAAACTGGTCATAAATGCTGATCCTAAAGTAAAATTCCGCAAAGGGACAGAGAGTTCACGGTTAGGGCACTAGCCTTGTATGTGGCTGAGTCCTCCGGGTGTAGCCCAACCCCACCCCACCCCCAAATTCCACGGGTCTTTTAAAAAAAAAGAAATCAAAGTGGGCTTTCTGGCATTGGAGAAGGCTTCTCCACTAGCCTGGGGCCATGGCTCAGGGGTAGAGCACCTTCCTCACATGCCAGGCTCCCGCGGTGGAAAAAAAAAATCATCTGTCCACTCCGTGAAGGGCCCTAGAAGACGCTCTTTGGGATTGGAGCCTCCTTCCCAGTTATTCCCAGAGTTCAAACACAGATCCCAGCCTAGACTGGCCCCATTCACGGCCTCTGAACAGGTCTATCTGAGACTCATCCATCTGCCAGCTCATCCCCTGGCTCCCGGCCAGCTTCCTGCAACTTGGAAATACCAGGGGCACATTTTTACACCATCTGTAGTTTTTACCTGCAAGTATCGACATTTCAACACCAGAAGCAACTGGCTGCACTGTTTCTAGCACCGGCTCTGAAGCAGTGTTTGCTGTGTGAAGCAAAGGGAAACTGGCAGGGAGAACTGTCTCCTGGCATCCAAGTTCCTATGGGAAGGCCCCAACTTAAGGGGCCACTAAAAAATAGGGCCTTTTAAGAGTCATTAAATGTGGATGGCAAGATGAGGTCCTAGTCCAGTGAGACTTCATCCCTGTGATCATCACAGTGGCCGAGAATGGGGCTCTGTGAGGGGGGTCCATCTTCCCACATGTGAGCTCCGGCTCTGACCTGACAGCCTGCCTGCATGTGGAGGTATCATGGGGTGTCCCGGCTAAGCAGAGAAAGTGCAGCCATGCATGAGGTGGACTGGGCTGGAGGCAAGCAGATGGGCTGCTGCTCAAGGGCGGCAAGTGGGTGTAGACTGGCTCACAGTCCCGCCAGGCAGTCATCGCTCCCTGCTGCTGCTCCCTTCTGCAGCCCTGTGCCGGCCCTGCTCCCAGCACACTCGCTCCTGGCACTAGGACCCTCTGCTCAACAGAATACCGTGACAAAGGGCTTCACTTCTGCATCCCTGGTCTGGTTTCTCACAAGAAACCACCCGTGGGTGTTCATGTACTGCCAGATAATCACCCATGGGTGTGCCCTGCTATGTAGGAACCCACGGGGGGTGTCTCTGCCCTGCCTCTGGCTTCTCAGCTGAGCAACAAGTGAGCAGGCGGAGGTCGGAAGCCGCTTTTTCTACAGCCCACTGGGCACACAGGAGTAGTGGGCAGCCCGACCCCCACCCCATGCTGCCAGGACCCTCCTCCCAGGGGACAGACAATTAAGGGGTGAGCCTGAGCCCAAACAGGCAAGCTCAGGCGGTGACTTCATGAGCACGGGGGCGGTGGGCTGTTCACAAAGGCTGGATCCAAAACCATTTTTATTCTGCCGCAATGGGACTCCAGCCCTGTGCCTCGGGGTGTGCAAGTTTGCACCCCTCACAATGGTCGAATCCCACAGCAAGTGTGGAGGCAAGCAAGACCCAGCCCCTGACAGACCTCCCCCCACTCCGGGCCCTAGGAGGCCTCCCGCTGGCCCTGCTCCTCCAGAGGCACTTGGGGTTGGCACTGTGGGCACCACCAGGTGAGCCTCTGCAAGCCCCCTGGTGGGCCCAGGGCCTCCCTCTGGACCGGGTGGCCATCAGGGCAGTGCGCTTTCTGGTAGATGTGCGTGTGCTGCCGGCGGCCCTGGGTCTTGCCACGGAGCCAATCTGCGCTGAATGCCAGGGCCTGATCCAGCAGTGTCTCCAGCTGGGCCCGGCTAAGCACGGAGCCCAGTGAGAGTGGGTGTACCCGGGCCTCATACAAGGCTTCGTTCTTGATGACATTCCCTGGGACAAAGACAGAACAAAGCAGTGAGTGACGTCGAGCATGCCCGGGTACCCCAGCATCGCCCCGTCTCCAGCATGAGGGCTGGACTGGCAGGCGTGACCGCTCACCTACACCAGCTGACCCTGGGAGTCCCTCCTCTGTGAAATGAGGCTCCTTTGCATCCTTGCTCTGGGGAGCAGTGAGGGCCCCAGCCCAGGGGGAGAGAGGTGGGCCCTGGGGGTGAGGAGCAGGCACCCAGGCACCTAGGGGATGATGGGAGGATGGCACCACAGCCCTGCACCCTAATCAGCAGCTCTTCCACTTTCCAGGCCTCTCCGTGTCCCCACTGTGGGACGGAACCCGGAGGCCTGGCTGGAAAGACTGAGCAAGGCGGGGGGTGGGGGCTGCAGCTCGTGTGGCACCTGCCCAGGGCTGCTCCTGTCCCCCACTGGGGCTCCTCCCACTGTGCCTTTGCTCTGATGGTCACAGCTGTGGAGGCCACATGCTCAGCAGGAGACGCTGTTACCGTGACAGCCCCAGAGATCCCCTGGAGGGGCTGCAGCCTTTCCACTCACAGGCTACCTCCTGTGCTAATGCAGGCTGGGCCTTGCGGGCGGCCCCAACGCGGTCCCTGGTGGTTTATGTGCTGCTAGTCCCTTGCTCCATCTGAGCTCTGGGGCCTGGGCAGGAAGCCAGCTCACACACTGACACACCTGCCTGGCCGTGCAAGGCCCCACGTCCAGCCCCTGGCACTACAGCGCCCTGACCACTGTGAAGTGTGGACACTATGAAAGCACTGGATGCTGTGGGGGACATACCCACGGTGCTCAGGACAGACTCCTGGCTTGGCTTGGGGGACCACATGGGATCCCGGGGAACAAACCAGGGTAAGCTGTGTGCAAACCAAGAGCTCCCCACCCCCACACCCCAAAACAGAAGGAGAAGCTTAAAGGGGGTCATGTGGTCCCTGAGCCCCCCCCACACACACACACACCCTACCTAGGCCCGAGAAGTGCCTCTGATCCATCAGCGTGTAGCAGACGGGTCTCGCCTGGCCCAGTGCCTCCAGGGCTTGTCCTCGTTGGAACATCTGTGATAGAATGTCAGAGGCAGCTGTGCCCATGGGCCCCGGGCCCCAGGTCAGTTGACAGGCGTAGAAGGTCAGGAAGCTGCCACCTACGAAGCGCAGGAGCAGCCTGGAAGGAAAGAGCCAGCAGGGTGGGGGGCTGTATAGGGGAAGGGGCTCTGCTGGATTCTGCTGAACCCAGTCACTCTGAAGACTCAGCTGGTCGCAGGCCCCGCTTCTGGTACACGCTCACAGCCCTGTAGCCACCGAGAGTCGAGTGCGGGGTCCATCCCACATCCCCTGGTCCCATGCTGTCGGGAACAGCCCAGCACAAATCTCCACCCCCCAATAACTAGCAACTGAGAAGATGCCCAGGTCTTACAAAAAGGAAAGAACTGGGAAATTTGGACATAAGGAAAGGAAACAGGGCCAGAGCGAAGTACAAGCAGGAGGAGTTTCCTTCCTCCTAACAGATCCAGGCTTTACCTCTGGCACCCCGTAAGCTCCCCTGAACCCTGCCATGAGTGATTCCTGACCGCAGAATCAGGAACAAGCCCTGGGCACACTGCACCAAAACAACCAGGGCTGAGGGCTTGAGAAAGAAGCCACATCTGCGATGGGGACGCCGGGTGTCGAGCAGCGCAGAGATGGCTCAGAACCTTCCAGACAGGAGCTGCTGCAAATAGGGGTGGACGTGCTCCAGCAACTCACGCTTGAAATATGTCCAAAGAACACACAACACCCCCCAGGAGAGATTCACGTGCACCCACGTCACCACAGCCTGATTAACAGCTGAGATCTGGAGACGCCCCAAGCACCCAAGGAGAGCTGGGCTGGGGCAAACTCACAGGAGCTACGGCTGGGCGGGGAGAGACGCTAGGGCTGAGCAGGACCAGGCGTGGCACGCAGTGGCTGTGGCAGGAAGAGGAGAAGACAGCTTGCCTTTTGCAGAGCTCCCCGACCCCCGGAAGGAACTGGAAAGGGTTGTGCGAAGCTAAACACAAGAAAGACCCACAGCAGAGTCTTCACTGAGAGACAGATGAGAAGGGAAAGTGCCCAGCAAAGCCCAGCAGAGACCCGAGGCCCAGCCAGAATGGCGAAACTGCAGGCACCGGGAGGGTTCTGACCTCAGGCAGCGGCTGTGCTGTGGGAACAGGACCACCCTAGCGTCTCACCCTCTCCTCACACCCCGCAGCCCTCGGGGCTCAGATATCCCACCTCTCAGCTCCGTTCCACATTCTGATTCTGCCTGGACCTGAGGGGTGACCCATGCCCCTCTAATGCACCGTCGCTTTAAATGGCAACTTCATGGAAATGGCCCATGTGCCCCAGCACAGAGCTCGGAGCTGCCTGAGAAAGAAGCAATGAGGTCACCACATAACCAGCAAACTCATGCCAAAAGATGGAGTGCACCATCACATGAGGCCCCTGTGTGCATTCCAGTTCTTCTTCCTTTAATTTATGACCCTCACTGCTAAGATCGGACCTACGTAGGTCCACATCTAGGTTTCGGGACCCATCACAGTTCAGTGAACGTGATGTTTAGCCAGCCCTCATGCGTGCCATCATCTATTCTGAGGACATTTGGGGGACAGACACAGTGGCCACGGCCAGCTGCCTTCTTCCTCCAAGCTAACCTCAGCCCTAACTTGGCAAAATCAACTTCTTCCCGGAAGGCAGATATGGGCCAGGGGAAAGACACCTGCCTGGCACACAGCCGACGGGGTCTGATCCCCAGCACTGCACAGGGGCTCCTGGGAACTGCCAGGAGGGATCCCAGAGCACAGGGGGTGAGACCCCCACACCAAGGAGAATCAAGTGTTTCCCATCCTCTATGCAGAAACGAACCTTTCCTTTCTGGGGCCACATTTGTTAGTGTTCCAGACTGACGGCTCTGTGCTCAGGGCTGACTCCTGGCTCTGTGCTCAGGGATCTCTTCTGGCTCTGTGCTCAGGCAGGGCTCACCCCTGACTCTGTGCTCAGGGCTCACTCCTCGCAGGCTCAGGGAACCATATAGGATACCGGGGATTGAACCCAGGTCAGCTGCGTGCAAGGCAAACACCCTCCCTGCAGTACTATCACTCAAGCTGGTAGGGATTCTTTAAGTCAACACTGCCCAAATAAAAATTATCTTTGCACCAAGCAAGTCTTAAAAAAAATTTCATTCAGAGAAGCAAATTCCCCTCCTCTCCCTGCTTCTTGTCCCTTTGCTATGGCTGTGATGGGAAAGGGACCCATCTGGCTGAGCCTTGGGTGGGTCTTTCTCGACATGTGGGGTCTCTGGTTAAGTGTTTTAATCAACCTCACCCATTGCCTCTGAGAGCATATCTGAGAAGCAGCGTGAAGTGGGGGCCTGGCTGGTGAGGGTCCCCTCTCCCTTATGGGGAACACACCCAAAACGGCTGGGAACTGCCAGGAAGGTGGCGAAGGCCACGCTCTGGCTCAGGCTGGAGTCAAGCCAGTGAAGGCCAGGGAAAGCTCTGCACCTGGCCATGCTGGGGGAAGCTCCAGAGGATGGGATCTGGGGAACTCTACACATCCCCACATTGCCCACACACACACACACACACATACACTCACACATTGTCACACACACACACACACACACGTGCACATTCCCACATCCCACATGCAAGTACACTCACACATGGCCTCACGCATGCACACACACACTCTCACAGGGACTGAACCCTTTCTGCTGCTCACCCTCCGGACCCTCTTTGTCTGTCTGTCCCCATGTGCAGCAATGAGCAAACTGAGGTATAAAGCCCACGGGACCCCAAAGCTCGGGGCTCACTGCCCTCAGACGGCACCTTTACCACCCAGAGCATCAGGCCACAGAGACAGCCCAGCTCGGACAGAGGGTGGGCCGGGGGTCACTCACAAAGGGTATGGGCCCGACGCTACAAACACAGACATTTCAGGACTTTAGGAAGCAACCGGGAAGGAGAGCAAGGACTGAGCAGCACAAAAACCAAGGATGCAGGGGTGGGGTACCATGAAGTACCCTGCTTCACAGTCAAGGACCACAGAGTGTCTGCCAGCCACAGGCCCATCACCACGTCAAGGTCATAGCTGGACTCAGCACCCCTGGTGGTGGGGCACCTGCTCCCTGACGCCAGCCACGCTTCCCCCAGAAGCTAATGGGGACCCTCATGTCACAGACCAAGAGAGTAATCCCCACAAGAACATGAAAAGCTGGAGCAAGGGCCAGAGCCAGGGTCCAGCGGGGAGACAGCTGACCTTGGCTTGGGTCCCCAGCCTGCAGGAGCAATGCTGAGCATTGCCCAGGGTGGCCCAAAAGCAAAAACAGAATGGAGCATCTCTGGGCGCCCAGGACAGAGCACCCCACATGTGTTGAGAACAACCCAGTGGGCACCGGCACTTGGGGACACCCCAATTCAGTGTGCAAACACCGTGACCCAGTGCAGAGAACCCAAATAAACAGCACAAGGAACAACCACCCATATCCCAAAGAATTCCAGCTGAGAGACAGAGCGCCCCACTCAGGGGTGCAGATCCTGGCCATGGTCTCCCACCGTGCCCCCAGTCCACTGGCCTGACTCACCTGGGAGCGGGGTCCCTCCAGTCGCCCCGCTTGTTGGCCTGGGTGGCCCTGGAGAACTCGTTCCTGCGGATGCTGCCAAACAGGCCGAAGCGCACCTGCAGCCACGTACCGGCTGCATTCCCGCCACACCGGGCAGAGTCTTCCTGGCCACCAGGACCCTCCCGCTGCACCTCTGGCCCAGAGGGCTCAGGTGCACTCTGGCCTCTAGTTTCTTCATCCGGATCAAACCTAAGGAACAGGATCTTCCCGTGGACCTGGAGGAAAGCCAGGGGCCTCAGCCTCTGCTGCGGGCAGTGTCCGTCCCTCACCTCCTCCCAGCCTGAGGGGGCCAGGTGGGACACAGAGAGGCATCCAGGTCTCTGGAGGGTCACCCTCGCCCACATGAGGACAGAAACCACCAGCCATGAGCAGAGCCTGAGAGCGCTACACTTGTCTGGGGCTGGGAACCACACCCACCCTGCCAGGGAATCCCAGGGGTTCCCTGGGCTGGCCTGTGTCTTCCTGTTTCCCCCAGCATTGCTGGCCGGGACCTGCTCTGCCGTTTGAGCCACACCCTCACTGGTGAAAAGACCAACAGCAGCAATCACTTGGTCCCCGATCCACAAACACAGCACCTGAACATCACCTCAGGAAAGCCAGCAGCCTCTTGGCTCATGGACACGGATACAATCTGCAGCCAGGGCCCTTCGCTGTCCCCACCCTCACCCCCCACAGGGCAGTCACTCAGGATTCTGGGTGCTCCCTGGTGCCGGAACCCCGTGGCTGCATACAGGGCGAGCACCGCACTCTCTTCCTGCCAGTCGTGGCTACACACCAGCCAATATTCACGCAATCTGCGCTCACCCACTGCCAAGCTGGCAGGCCTCGCAGGGATTTAGGCTTACAGGTGGATTGTTGACAGGGCCCAGAGTCCTGGTGCTGGCCAAGGAAGACCCAAGAATTCAGCTCGGTTGGGGCAGGGTGCAGGTTCCATGCCCAGCACCCCACCTGCCCCCCCCCCACAACTCACCAGGAGTGACCCCGAGTGCAGAGCCAGGAGAGGTCCCCAAATTGAAACCACAAGAAGCTGAGCTCATTTGCTGAAGTGGAAAGTGTCTCAGCGAAAGGAAGTGAGAAAAGGAAGCCGCAGAGAACGTTCTGGCTGCTTAGGCCTGTTTTCCGACCTAGTACTCAGAACTATGACACGTGGGTTACAGTCCAAGGCGGCTGGGGTTTAGGGTACTTGCAGGCCTGTTGGAGGGCCCGGGAGATCCTGAGTGGCACGGCGGCGCCCTAAGCATCTCAGGTGGGGGGGTCCAGAGCAGGGACGAGGCTCCAGCCTCGCGGGCAGCGACCCTTACTGGATCCTAGCACCCCTGGCAAGGCCCCGGGGCCACCCCGAGCACTACTCGCTTGGCCCCACATGACCCCGCTCTGGGGGAGGGTCCCGCGAGAGAAACTCTTCCCCCCACACACATTTTAAGCACCACACAGCCTGTGCCAGCGGGGCCTGCCCCAGCTACACCAGATGGTCAGCTGACACCACGGGGCCAGGGGGAGCCCCCCCGCCCCCGCAAAAATGCCTTCCCGCAGGGCTCCAGAGCAAGCTAGGTCACCCCGGGCCGCGGACACATGGGCACCTGGGAAGGGCGGTCCGGCAGGGCACTCACCCGGGTGTCCATCAGCCGCAGGCCCTGCAAGGCGGCCGGCTCCAGCTTCCTGGTACTGCCCCCGGCGCTGGCCACGCGCTGCCCCACGAAGGGCGACACTCGCTGGTGGAACACGCGCACGGACGGGCCTTCGGGCATGCCTGCTGCAGAGGGGCGTGTTGAGGGCACGCTGAGCTGTCCCCGCCACCCTGGCCGGTGGCCACCGCTGCCCGTGGTCACCGCCGCGTCCTCCACGGGGGCAGTTAGGACTCAACCACCCCAAACCTGCGGGCCCCTGGCACCAGCCCACCGCGTCTCACCTGTGAGTGCTAGCCGTGCGGAGTCCTGGGAGGGAGGCAAAGCTGCGACAGCCCAGCTGCCAGTGTCCACGGCCCTGGAAGTGCCACCAAGCCTAGGCCTGCCCGGAAGCACGTGACCCGGGGCACGTGGGAGCAGCCAATCCTGGGCCCGCCCGGGAGCATGTGACCGGGGCACGTGGGAGCCAAATCCTGAGCGTGCCCTGGGAGCACGTGACCCCTGGGAGGCTCGAGCAATCCTGAGTCGGCCCTGTGTGCACGTGACTATGGGCATGGGCTGTGCAGCCAACCCTGACTCTGCCGTGTGTGCATGTGATGAGGGCACGTGAGCAGAACCCGCCAATCCTGACTGCCCTTTGCACATGCTCGGGGTACTGGGGGGTTGAAAGCGTCACCAATCATACACCTGCCCTGGGCACGTGACCAGGCACGCGAAGGAGAGGAAGGAGACGTGCAGCCAGACGGCATGCCATTGCACATGTTCCGGTATGCATTCCAGGCTCCTGCGTTGGGTCCTGGGCCCTCCCGAGCCAACTTCTGCTGGGGGCTGGCGGGGCGGAGGGGGCGGCTGCCGCCCCTGGAGTCACTTTCCAAGCACCCCTGACTTGGCATCAGCTGTAGGACCTGACGTAGGCAGGACACTGCCAGCCCCCCCCCCCTGCCCTGAGGCCCCTTAGGCCCTGTGGGGTGTCCCGCTGCAGGCAGTGGGGGACAAGGGCGACCAGTGGCAGGAGTGACCTCGCCGGGCGGGGCAGCGGCGCCTGAGCGAAGCCCCTGACCCGGGTGGGCACCGAGAGCCCAGGAACGGGTCAACGTGGGGTCCTGCTGGGAGAGCAGCGGCGGCAAGCACAGCCCGGGAGCCGTGTGTCTGCCCCGGGAAGTCAGGCCAAGGTCAGTGGCAGTGTCGGCAGTGGAGCTGGAGAAAGGACTGCCCACTACTGGCCTTGCCCCCGTCCTCAGCACGACAGACGCTCCTTGTAGCGGGTGGGCGGAGCCACCCCCGAAAGAAGGCACAGCTCCCACTGATGATGGACACGGACACGGTCCTCCCAGTTGTTCATCGATTTGCTCGAGCGGGCCCAGTAACGTCTCCATCATGAGACTTGTTACTGTGTTTGGCATATGAATACGTCACGGGGATCTTGCCAGGCTCTCGGAGAGGGGCGGAGGAATCGAACTCGGGTCGGCCATGTTGGCTGCTTGTAAGGCAAATGCCTTACCGCTGTGCTATCACTCCAGCCCACTGATGATGTAAATACTTTTTTTTTTTTGCGTTTTTTGGGTCACCCAGCGATGCACAGGGGTTACTCCTGGCTCTGCACTCAGGAATTACTCCTGGCAGTGCTTGGGGACCATATGGGATGCTGGGAATCGAACCGGTCGGCCATGTGCAAGGCAAATGCCCTACCCGCTGTGCTATTGCTCTAGCCCAATGCAAATACTCTTACCGGACAGTCTCTGAGCTGTCAGTTCAGAAGCTAACCCTGACCTTGGCCGGATTCTCAAGTACACCTTTTGGGGAGCTATTCCTGGCACAGTGCTCAGAACCCTGTGGATTCTCAACTGCACCTTTCGCAGAGCTGCTCCTGGCACTGCTCAGTCCCCTGTGGATTCTTTACTACACCTTTTGCAGAGCTGCTCCTGGACAGTGTTCAGTCCCGTGTGGAAGAGGTTCCAGCTGGGGTCTCTCACACCCCAGGCATGAGTGCCAGCCCGGGACACCTCTCCCTGGCCCCCAGGTCCACATTGGGCCCTCCCCAGGATCATCCACAGCTGCCTGCGACCAGTGCCTTGCTGATCAGGAGCCCACATCACCTGATGAGAAGGGAACCCCCCATTTCTAGCTGTGTGGGAGTCCCAGAGCACCTCCAAGTGGCCCTGGAAACAGTATTCACCGCAAAGACGGGCTGCGTGGGGCTCAGAGCTCCCAGAAGACAGATGGACATTCCCCATTCGGCTTTGTGGCTGAAGGTTCAGACCCCTTCCTGGGCCATGGCAGTTGGGCAGTGGGGACTGGAGTTAGGAGTGGGGCCAGACTGTGTCCCCACGGGCGCCAGTGCCTAGCACCCAGTTCCCCCAGCAGGACGAGAGAGGAAAGAGTACAGATAAATTTATTAGTTAAATACTGATTTTACAACCATTTCACCTTAAGACAATGTTAGCAGGCTGTGGGTTAGGGAAGGTACACAGGGCGGCCTTCATGGAGAAAACGATGTCAGTGGTGATCAAAACAGAATCTCGGCTGAAAGACATTTTCTGCTATGGCAGGATGGAGAGGGGGGCTGGGTGCGGGAGAGGGCATGGGAAGGCCACGGTCAGCACTGGCCGGGCGGGGGAGGGGGGGCAGGAGGAGAAGGCCAATTCCAGAACATTCCTCAGCAGCGCAGTGCTTGGGGGCTCTTGGGCATCTCACTGATCTTGCTTCCCATGAGTTTGGGGGGGTCGGGGGGTTCCTGCTTTAATTCATATCACACACCCCCAGCTTCCCCCATCCCAGACAAAGGCCCTTGGCGGGCCCCCAGGGGTGCATCTCAGAAGTCCCCGCAGACACAGAGCGAGGCATGATTCTGACACGGACTCCTGGCCGTGCGAGTGAGCACGGGGCATGGTCTGGGTCAGAACTGCCGCCACCAGCCAGGGACAGCGGAGAGGGGAGCCCAGTCTGTCCCCAGGACGGAGGGGGCGAAGCGGGGGTGGGAGGCGGCCTGGCCCCCCTGTCGCATGGAGCATTCAGTAACACAAGTGCCCCGTGTCTGCATGAGGTCCACAGCGGCCGCGGGGCGTGCCGAGTCTGCAGGGAGTGTTGGGTGCACCCGGAGAGGCTCAAGGACGCTCGCGGGGGGGCGGGCGGGGAACCAGGCCGGAGTCTCTGGCCCCCTAGAAGGGCTCCTGGTCCCCACCTCGAGGGTGTGTGCTCAGAGCCGGCGCCGCACCCCCGCCAGGTGACTTCAAGTTTCTTCCCAGTTGTGGAGTCGCTGCAGGCGGAGCAGGCCGGACCCCCGGCCCGTCCACTCGGCGCGGGCATCAGGAGGGGGCCTTAGGCCGTGATGATGTCCCCGTGGCTGTCGGTCAGGGCCAGGCTGTTCCAAGGGTCCTGCTTGGAGCCGGCCTGCGGGGACTGGCTGACCGAGGACGTGTAGCCTTGCGGGGAGAGCTTCAGGGCCGAGAGGGCGGGGTGCAGGGGGGGTCCGTGGGCAGACATGGCGCTCACGGAGAAGCTCTGAAAGGCAGAGTGGAGTGAGGTCCAGGTGCCGCCCCAGCCAGTCCCACTCCCATCCTGAAGACCCCGGCCAAAGTACCCCCACTCAGCAGCCTGGGCAGTGCCAGCTATGCTCGTGAGTCCTCCACCCCACCCCTCCGTACCTGGGAGATGGAGCTGCTAGGCCCATAGTGGGCCGCCAGCCCGGGCTCTGTCTTGATGGGGCGCAGCTCCTCACTGCCACTGGCCGCCCCGCTGCTGGCAGTGCTGGGCGCTGAGCTGGCGGGGGGCAGGCTCTCGGCACTGGAGGGACCTGTCAGAGGGCACTGTGAGCACCAGGACGGGGTATGCAGAGTCCCTGCCCAGGGCCCGCCCTTCCCCTCACCTGCCGGCGTCTTGGACTTGTTGAGGTTCTTGGGCTTCCGTTTCCTGGTCTGGATCCCCTCCTTCCGCATGGCAAGAGGCCGGGGCACCTAAGGGCGGAGGATACTCCCTCAGCAGGATCCCAGGGCCCACTGAAACCAACCCAGGGGTATGGAGTGGCTGCAGGGCCCTAAACCCCACAAGGGAGGGTGCGCTCCACTGAGCACCAAGGGGCCAGCCAGGCCCTGCAGGGAAGGTCTGAAGACAGTTCCTCCCATCTAGAGGTGCTCGGTCTACTGGGACAAGAACTGGGAAACAGCCAGACTCCTTAGAGGCACAGAAGGAAGAATCCCGAGCTAGTTTTGGAAGAGGAACACGGTACGTGCAATCTAGGAAGGCTTCTGGGGGAGGTGATGCCTGACCAGTAGGCTTTCCCGCGACACACAGAGCTTTCGTCTGTTTGCCATGGGGACACTGGGCACATGGAAAGGATCATTCCAGTGACTCAGCAGGCAGCAAGCAGTGTGGGGGCAGAGGAGGCCATGCCGGGAGGCCCAGAAACCAGTGTCCACAGAGACCCAAAAAATGGGAATGTGCTCTGTACCCCAGTGGTAAGGCTTTTGCCTTGCAGGCAGCCAGCCTGGGCAAGCTGGGTTCGATTCCTCCACCCTTCTCGGAGAGCCCGGCAAGCTACCGAGAGTATATTGCCCGCACGGCAGAGCCTGGCAAGCTACCTGTGACGTATTCAATATGCCAAACACAGTAACAAGTCTCAAAAAAAATGGAGACGTTACTGGGCCTGCTCGAGCAAATCGATGAACAACGGGAGGACAATGTTGTTGTTTGTTTGTTGCTCTGCACCCCGATGTCTGATCAGGACTTGGTGCCTCCCACACGTGGCACCTTGGCCTGAGAAAGGCCACGCCCACGGGGACCCACGGGGACAGGTGGGGCTGGGGATCTGATGCAACAGTGCCCCCAGCATGCATGGCCGCTGACCCCAGCTTCCGCTCAGCAGGGATGCGGGGGGCAGAACCCCACCTTTGCCCTCACGGTGGGTTCCTGCACTGTGTGCAGTGGGGCGCAGGATGACCCCGGAACCCTTTACCTCTCCCCTCTTTCCCCGTGTGCATGACCAAAGTCCCCAGCTTCTGACCCCAACCCCGCAGCTATCCCCTTTCTGCTCTTCTCTCCAGATCTGGCCACTCCAGATGCGTCTGTCCAGTGTCTGTCCTGTGCGAGTGGCCGGCATCTCCCCAGTCAAGGTGCCGCAGGGCCCAGCACAGACAGTGCCGCAGCTGCTGCCCTCCAGCCAGCTGTCTGGTCGCCTCCCCGGGTCTGTCGTGAATGCACGTCAGCATGCGTGCACACAGCCGGGGCCTTGCCTCCGTGCCTCCCAGTTTTTTGTGGACAATCTTTCAGTTTGTTTTTGGGTGCTCAAGACTCTGTTCTTAGGAGTCACTCCTCCTGGCAGGCTTTGGGGGGATCTACGGGGTACCAGGGATCGGATTGAACCCAGGTCAGCTGCATGCAAGGCAGACACCCTCCCCGCTGCAGCCAAAGGACAATCTAACACCTGCACAGCAGCCCTGAGACTCTGGAACTCCCCAACAGAACCAATGTCTCTCCCCATCTTCCTCCTGAACAAAGCAGTGTTGCCTCGGGGCCAACACTTCTTGCAGAAAGAAACAGACCTTCTGAAGCATCGGGAGGAGTGTCCCTAAGACATTTGAGGGGACTGTGACAAGCAATCAGGAGACTCAGCCCCACTCTCAGGCTGATGCCAATGCCTAAAAGATCTCAAGCATACATCTCCAGAGTACATGTCTGTGCTACCCACATGTGTGCCTGTATGTGTGCACACCTGTATATGTCTGTGCCTGTGTATGTATATGTGTGCACACCTATAAGTCTGTGTATACATGTCTGTGGGTGAGTGCCTGTGTGTACATGCCTGTGTTTGCCTGTGTGTGTACATACCTGTGTGTGAGTGCCTGTGAGTACCCATGTGTGTACATACCTGTGTATGAGTACCTGTATGTGAGTGCCTCTGTGTATGCCCGTGTGTGTGTATGCCAGCGTGTGCCCAGGTATATACATGCTTGTGCTGCCTGTGTGTGTGCATGCCTATGTATGCATTCCTGTGTGTGTGTGCATGCCTGTGTGTGCGTGTGCCTGTATGTGGCACTCAGTTCACTCAGGCTTTCAGCGGCATGGCCTTGTGCACTGGGGACAGTGCAGACCATGGATAGTTGGTGCCACTTAATACAGCCACAGAGCAGCTCCAGCCATGTTTCTGTTTGTTCGGGGGCTCCAGCCAGCAACGCTCAGGGCTTAGCCAAGCACTCCTGGGGTTGCTGGGAACTCCGGGGGCTGCCGGGAACGGACCCCGGGCTGGCTGTGTGCAAGGCCACACTCCTGCCTGCTGCACTATTGCTCGAGCGCCAGTAGAGCCACTTTCTCCTGGGCTGGCAGGAAATTTCAGCAGCTTAGCCTCAGCCGGCAGGCCAGCAACTGAAAGCCACTGTGTACTTTATACTGTTACACACACTTCTTTGGTTTGGTTTGTTTAATTTAAATGATATTTGAAGTCAGACTTTCCACCTGGACCGCTGAAAAAGGAACAAAAGGGGAAGCAGCCATGCCCCCTCTGGGGGTGCCCATGAACCAACGGTGTTCTACTTTTGTGTGGGAAGAAGACTATGGGGCACAGGGCAGGGCTCAAAGCCTGGAGCTCGAGGCCAGCACTGCAGGGACCCCAGGCACTGCTGACAGCGGCCCTGGTGCCGACCAGGAACAGCCCCGGGCACCAAAGCCCCCAAACCAGCAAGACCAAAGAATGGGGGGCCACATGCTCTGTGCTGTGTTCTACATGTGACTAAAAACCAAACTCTTAGAGAAACTGTTCTGAATGAAAACATAAGGACTTTACAGGGCAGCGTGACCAGACAACGGGTAGGTCAGTCCCGTGTATCGCCCACAGTGGCCCGAAGTCATCCCTGAGTACCACTGCGTGTGGCGCAAAAACAGACGAAACAAACCCACTCGAAGACTCTGGCGGCTCTGAACTAAGGGAAAGTCCACCCTTCTCCTAACACACACGCATACTGGTCTTTACTTCCTTTTCTGGACTTTTCATATACTCGTGTTAAATGTCGCCTGAATACAATCAAATATGTCTGACTTCTCCCTGGTGGCTTAAGAGTTTGGCAAACTTGCTCCAGAAGTTCTCCTGCAGTTGGGGACTGGTCTTGCTCGCAGGGTCCTCGGGAGCCCAAGGCAGCTAGGGGACAGCAGGCAGCCAGGCCTGGGGCAGGGGGGCGGGGAGGAGGTGTGGGGGGACGACTCACGCCATGGAGCTTCATGTAGAGACCGCATGCATTGCACACGGGCTCGCCCTCAGCGTTGCGGCGCCACAGGGTAGTGGTGGTTGTCTGGCAGTTGGCGCAGGACAGGCCCACACGGCGGGAGGCAGACTGTGACACGGGAGACAGGGAGTCAGGAGACCCCACGGCCACCTCACACCAGGGGCACCCGCTGCCACGCCCGGGTGTGCGATGCCCCCCACCCCAGCCCCAAGTCAGTCGGGGTCTGGCTCAGGGCCTGTGAGGAGCTCAGCAGGCGCAGGTTGCCCGAGTGGACGGCAGGTGCCGGAGAGTGGTGGCCTCCAAATTTGCCCTGTCCATTTCCCCCACTGGTCAAGGCCCAACTGTGGGCCGGGGAGAGCCTCAAAGGGCACACACGTGGGAACGCCCAGTGCTCAGAGCACTGAGGGCCATAGCCCCAGGCCAAAGGAACCTGCAGATAAGTCGGGGGGGGGGGGGGGCAGCTCCCAAGAAGGATGCTGCCCTCCCACGCAGGGCAGGGTGGACTGTCAGGACCCCATGCTGACCTAAAGGCAGGAGAAGGGCAGGTAAGACTGGAAGCCAAAGGCCAAGGGAGGCTATTGCTGCATGCTGAGCTGTGGCCAGGGCGTGGCAGGGAGTGAGGGGTGCCCGGGGGTGCCCGGGAGGGAAAGTATCAGGGCCCGGCTGGGGGCTCCTCACCAGGCGACGCTGCGGCTTGATGAGGGGCCGGTTGATCCCGTTCATCTTGTGATAGAGGCCACAGGCGTTGCACAGGTAGTGGCCGGTTCCATCCCGCCGCCACAGCGGGGTGGACATGGCGCCGCAGTTGACACATTCTCTGCCTTCGGAGAAATCGTCGAACATATCTGCGGGGGGAAGCAAGGGAGCACTCGCATGGGAGCCCGTCCCCGAGACCCTCTCTCCCCCCTTTGGGCGAAACATGGTCCCTGCCGGGGGGGGCGGGCGGGGAGGGAGAATGGGCAGGCACTGGAGGACAGCCAAGGCGCCCCAGAGCCAGACAGAGCGCCCGACAGGCCCATCCTGTCCAGCTGAGCTGGGTCCCCGAGAACCACAGCGTAGCTCACTCCTCTGCTCTTCATAAACGCCACCAGCCATCCCATGTCTCTGCAGCACAGAGGGCAGCAGGGGAAGGCTGGAGGAGCTGACGGGGCCCCATGGCGCCCTCCCCACCACTACACCCCGCTGCAACTGCAGTGCCATGTCCCCCGCATAGTCTATGTCCTCCGCAGGGCACATTCCGCTGAGTGACACGGTGTCCACTCTGGCCTGTCCTCCTGCCAGGGGCCGGCTGGCTCTCTGGGGTCAGGGCCAGAACTCTGCGCTCGGGGATGTGGGCTGGCAGGGGACCCCACTTCACACAGCAAACAGGTGCCTCCTGAGGCCCCAGCTGTCCTGTGCTGGCCACAGGGAATGTCACCGGCCTCCCCCGCACAAGCCACAGGCCATTCCTGCTCCCCAGGCCTGGCTCCCCCGGAGCTGGACAAGGGAGAGTGGGGGGTGGAGGGGGCAATGGCCAGCCCAGCAGGTGCTGCGGACACTAGGTGGCACCACAGCATGGTGTCCCTCTGTGCTAAGTGACCGCACCAGCTTCCTGAGCCAGCAGGCAGCCCCCAGTCCCAGCCCTGGCCCTAGCCCTGCCCGCCTCATTCTGGAAGATTCTGGCAGGTTTCCCAGAGGACAGATAGAAAACTTTAGCCCAAGATTTTGTGTCCAGTGGTGTTCCGGAGACACTCTGTCTGCCACACCGCATGTCCAGCACTGGTGAAGAGAGGCCCCCCACAAGCCCCTGGGTACTCCCTTCTCCTTCCGGACGCAAGCATGCCTGCCTGAGACAAGCACTCAGAGGGAGGACCCTCCTCTCCTGCTGCATGAGCCATGTCTATACCACGGCCTTGCCGCAGCCCCTGAGCCCCCCTGAGGAAGCCCCCGGCCACTCTCAAAGGGGCCACGCTCGGCTGGCATGTGGGCAGCGGGTCTGCTGTGCCCACTGGCTCATGACCATGCCGCAGGGTGCCACGGCTGAGGGGCCTGAGGGCCAGCGCGGTGATGGATGAATATGGACAAGAAGCCGGATCCCCAGGAAAGGGGCTGCCGTGGACAGTTCTGAAAGGCATCTGAAGGCCATGCTCCTCTGCGCAGCTGCTCTGCCAGACACTGCCCCTGCCCCAATCGCTGCACCTCAGCAAAGGCCCACCCACCAACCTGCTCAGAGAGCCACACGCTGGCATAGGGGCTGGCACGGTGGGAATGGGGAAGTCCAGGCCCCAGTCAGAGACAGAGAACTGCCTCCAGCAGGGCAGCACCATCTCCCCCACCCCACCCCAAGGGGACCCAGAGTGTCACACTGTGTGGGTTTTCCTCTGGGGGGGGTTGGCTTTGTATGCGGGAGCTGAACCCCACAGTCCCTCAGCACGCTGGGAGAGGCCCTGAGTAGGGTCTGCCCCCCAATAAAAACACTTGCCATTAAAGATGAAGACCCCTTGGGGCCAGGACAGCTGCACAGCGGGTAAAGCTCCTGCTCGGAGCAGCCTGAGTCCCCAGGAGGGAGGATCCCTGCGTGCAGAGCCAGGAGGAAGCCCCCAGCACTGCTGGGTGTGGACCCTAAGCCAAGGACACCCCGCCCTGCATTTAAAGTAAAACCCCACCCTACATTTCAAAATGTCCACCTGGAGAACAGCACCAGGGCTGGAGGACTGTATGCTGGAGCCTGGGTTTGAGCCTCAGCCCTGACCTCAAGCAATGAGTCGGGAGTGGCCCCTAGTGCTACTTGGCGTGTCCCAAGAGCTACAGGGGAAAAGAGTTCACATAAGGGATGGAACCCAGCCCTGCCGGGAAGAAGCCCTGACAGATTGGGCCCCAAGGCCCAGCACCAAAAGCCCTCATCCCCATTAAAAACGGAAGCAAAGTATCGACCTCCCGGGCAGCTCGCGTGCACTGGGAGTGGCCCCTTCCTACTCGCTCTCACTCGGCTCACATGAGCGTCTTCTCTCCCCAGGATGAGCCCAAGCCCCACAGCTCAGTGGGAGCCACTGTATACAGGCGTGGGCACAGCCAAGGGCATGGCACCATGGGAGTCGCTCAAGCCCTAGGAAGCCACGGGAATGCGGCCACAGCTGGGTGGGTGTGGGCAGTGCCCACTCTGCAGGAGACTTGTAATAGTATCGCAAAGTGGTGTGCAAATATCGGGGGGACTCCCAACAATGCGGTGAAGTGCTTGGCGAACAGCCCAGATGACATGGTGCGTGCTTGTTTGGGCTGAGGGGGACACCAAGGGCCCCTGCCCTGAGGAGTGGCTGGGGGGAAGAGATGGGAGAGAGCTAGCCTTTGCCAGCACTCCTGTGTGGACAGGAAGGACTACAGACTCAGTAGCGGGGAAGGGAGACACACAAACGATAGCCACCGAGAGACAATGGCCACAAGAGACGATGGCCACAGAGAGACAATGGCCACAGGGTGATGATGGCCAGAGAGATGATGGCCACGCTTAACGTGCAGACAGCCTAGTCCGCACTGCTGGAAATGAGTGAATGAATGAATGAACGAATGAGTGCAGGTCACTTCCAGCCAGAGCCTGAGCACAGATGGAGGGGTTCACCCTAGTGACCAGAGAGAACTGACCTGGTCAGCAGCCAACAAGACCGTGGCCACACCTACCCTGCCAGGCATCTTGGGGCCTACCCAGGGGCCGAGCTGGAGCAGCAGGCGGGGACGTGGGGGCAGCCCGTGGGCACTGCTGGACACTGGCTTTCCAACACTGCTTCTGGGTGTACACGGGCTGAAGGTGCACAAACTGCCCAGAGCACCCGGGCCCACCCATGCGTCCCTGGCTGAGACCACCCAGCCCCAGTTCCCAGGGCCCGGGCCAGCCCAGTGGTGCCGCAGCATGCGTCGAGCTTTCCTGGCAGCGGCCAGCCGGTGGCTCCTGGGCTCTGTCAGGCCTGGCTGTGACAGCGCGGCCGAGCCAAAGTGGGGGCAGGGGGGCCTATTCTGGGAGCTCCGGGGCTGAGGCGCCCACACCGCCTCTGCCAAGTCTGCCACAACTACTGCACCAGGAGACAGGCTCCACCCAAGGGGCCCCGAGGCCTGGGTCTCAGGGCGGTGTCGGCGTGGAAGGGATTGCTGACATTACCCACATGCGCACACACCTCTCACACTCACACTAACACTCAGACACACACACACACTCACATACACTCACACACACGCAAACTCTCTCTCTCTCTCTCTCTCTCTCTCTCTCTCTCTCACACACACACACACACACACACACACACACACACTCCCAGACAGCCAAGCTGTGAGACTGTGGAGGGTCCAAGCTTCTGTCCATGCCCGTGGCCAGCAGCTGGAGTACCACATGGTACCTGGCTCTATACCGGCCTCTGGCATGGGGTCTGTGCTCAAGGGCCAGTGTCCAGGGACAGGATAAAGGGAGGAAGGCGGGAGGCCTTTAGGAAATCAGGGCAGGTTCCACGGCCCAGACAGCGAAAGCCTGATGTGGCCAGGACACACGGCATGGGCCCAGCTCGGCCAGCAGAGCCCTACTGCCCAGCTGTCAGTGCAGGACCGACCCTCAGTCCAGAGCTGAGCACTGAGTCCATGAGCCCAGGACAAGGCTGCTGATGGCGAGCCCGGCTGTCCACTCACAGCTGCTTCCTGCTGCGACATGCCACCGTCAGCTCAGGCACTAGCGTGTAGGGAAGGCGTGTGGCACCGCCCGGAAGGTGCGGGGCTAGAGGAGATCTGTGGCTCACTCCAGGCCAGCTCCAGGACACACAGTAGCCTGTCCACCCTGGCCTGTCCAGCCACAGGGCCACAGACCACCCAAAGCACAGCCCCTGTCCCGAGGCCTGTCTGGACTCTACCCTGAGACGGCCATGCTGGGAGTGTGGCTGGCCATGAAGCAGCGAAGGTAGGACCCGCGGACACCACCCCGCCCAGCTGCACTGGTGGCCTCAACCTCTCAGGCCTTCCCGCCACTGCCCCCTGCCTTCCTTTCCAGCGTCGTTCCCCCCCACCTCTGCCTATGGAACATGAGTTCTACACAACGTGGATTCTGGGATGGGCTGTACCCCTCCGCGGGCCTGGAGTGTGCTCGACACACCGTCCGATGTCCGACACACACAGAAGCCCTCCGACACCTTGCACATGGTGAGTCTCCAGCCAGAAGCTCATGCAGGCTCAACAGAGCCACAGAGACCACGCAGGACAATCGGGCGAGTCCATGAAGGCAAGCGTCCAGAAGGTCCCTGACCCGATCTGGCCATCTGGGCATGATACTGCTGCCCACACTGGCCACAGGGCTCCCACTAACATGGCAGCATCACGGGGTGCAGGGGGGTGGGCTGGCCAAGGGTCCCGCGCCCACTATTCCTGCCATACCCGGGACCGCCAGAGCTCAGACACAGAGGATCTGCTCACAGATGGACACGGAGTGACATGGGATCCGGACACACGGACACGAACTGACTCGGGGACACACCCAGCCCAGGCTCTCTGGGGACAGAGTGGTCAGGGATGCGCTGAGTACCCCAAAGGGACCTCCTAACCCCAAAGGGCAGGGAAATGCGGGTCTGTAAGAGGTGGGCTGGTGGGAGCCCCACGGTCTACTGCGGGAGCCTGATGAGAAGAAACCAAATTGCAGTTTAGACTAAGACTCCCCCTTCCTGCAACAGTTTAGAAGCCTGAGCACAGGCTCGGTCAATCCAAGCCGACTGGAGAAGCAAAGGTCCTAGGGCCCGTGATGCAGATGCAAAGGCGGGTAAGGGGGACTCAGGGGATCTTTATGGAGTGATGGGAATGTTCTAAAATCTACCCTGAAATGCCAGCAGGACCTTGAACTGTC